AAGCTGCTTGGTTCTTCGGGTATCTGAAACAGAAAGAGAGGGTTGCCTCCTGACCCCAGAGCCCAGGGGACAATGGCTTCAACCAGGTCGGTCACACACGGCCTATAGGAACTGGTTTTTTGGTTTGGTTCCGTATTAGTAAACTTACCGCCGGTGATGGACCACCGTAGGTGGGGGGTAAGTTGGAATGTACAATTTTCGGGGTCGACCTTTTCTAACCCCCCCGCGGTCCATCAGAGTGGAGAGACAGCAGCGTAGCTAGCTGGCTGGCATGCTGTTCATCTGAGAGGGAAACACCTCACTGTAGCTGTTACACCCCTCTGTTTCCCAGAAGTAGGACTTCGCCCTCAGACCCCCCAGCATAGTGAAAGAAAGATTGTTGCACTATGCGGGTAACTGCTTTTAGTCTAATCGCTATCTCCTAACAACCTTCTTGGCATGGTAGGACCTGCAGGAACATTGGTTCCAGCCAGTGTAGCTTGTTGGGTTATCGTAATGTGTAAGCCTGACCACCACCACCACCACGTCAAGGTAGCAGCTATCGTTCCAAGACTCAATCTATTCTAGACTCAGGATTGTTTTATTCACGTCCTAAAGATAGCAAACTTTTTCTTATAGCAGTATTCTGGAAGGGAACACTCAACAATCAATCTTTTTAGTGACAAGTGGCTTTCACATTCATTGAATAAGTACAGTTTCGAAAGTTTTATGAATTCGAAGTTGTCAGATTTCCTTCCATAGATGATACTTAGACGTAATCCAAAGCCTCAGGATGGTCGGCGGTGGGTGTCTTGCGCTGCGGGTTGGCCACCCCTCCCACCGTACACCTCTTGAAATGCTCCCATATGACCGGGCGTCTTAAATAGCCTCTCCTGAGGAAGTCCTACTCACTGCCTTCACGTGGCGCAGGTGTGTTTTTTTCACCGAAGTGAGAGGTCAAAAGCGGATGACCGGCGCTCTTCACCGGGTTGACTGTCCATTGGATGACAGACAGTCTAGGGGAGATGGCTAAACCCTGTCTGATTCCAAACCTCCAACGACTGGCGTATGAAGCTCATCGGAGGTCACCAGTAGGCAGACGTATGGACAAAGGGCTTATTGGATGCCCTGGATGTCTGGCCCCATTGAAAAAGGCGTATGAACCGGACTCCGGTCACCGGCTGGCTGACAATGGATAGTCGACTCCCTACTCCACTCCTACTGCCTTCTAGGAGGTCACACTTGGTTGGTTGTGTAAAAGCTAGAGCTGCACTGTCAAAGAAAAGGCCGAGCGATGGTGGGGACATCACTCGTGCCTAATTCCCATGAAACTTCATGAACTGTCGTCGTTGCTACAACATCAACCAGTACTGGTCGAACAACGTAGCCTTCGGTGGTTTGGCCGTGTTCTGGGCCGAGCCGACCAGATGACGATCTGGTCAATGAAATCAGTTCTAAATCCCTGCTCGCCATTTCCATCTTGGAGATATGTCGGAGGGGTGGACAGCTGAAAACACATGGCTTGGTACAGTCAGTCAAGGCTGATATGGAGTGACTGGGCTGGGGCTACAAACCGTCTACAGACTGTGTCTGTGGAACAAGAATTGGATAAGGCTGTCGGAAAACCATGCATCAGATCTCCGCGCCTGGTCAGCGATGATTCGAGATGTTCATGAAACCGGCTCATCCTCCCGTAGGAGATAGCTGGAGTAAAGTAAAGTAAAGTAGGTAATCATGATTTATCGGGGAAGGGGGAGGCATATTGATCTGTTGTCACATTCGACACAAACTGCTCGCGGTTAGGTGCATAAGAATATGAAGCAGGTATGAGTGCGGCCCTCGGTGATAACAGGACTTATCATGGGTTGAGAGGAAAGGCATGAGGGAAAGAATGTGTATTTACATACTTATGTCAACTGGTATGCAATAATAATAATAATAATAATAATAATAATAGTAATAATAATAATAGACGGGATTTAAAAATGTTACACGACACAAGATTGACGTTAACCAGGCGGCTTTCATGGCCATTTACCGCACACCAACCAACAAATCTCAATTTCGCCTTAAGAATTCGACTACTTAATATTCCTGAGGCTGGCTGGCTGGCTGGTTGGCCGTTGAGATTCATATTAAGAAGCTTAATTTGGTCATCTAAAAGAAGTTAGTTGGTTCAGACATTATCCATCATTACCCGCTTGGTCATCCATCTAGGTTTAAATGATTGTGAATTTTTGTGGAATTTTCCTAATTTTAGTTGATATTCTATTTCCTAATATATCTTTATTATTATTAAGATTATTATAATTTAAGCCTCTTTAATGAACTGTGGTGGTGATTCCATTGTGATCTTACTTTACAAATCGATATTGTTTAAAAAACACGCCGATATTGTTATTGACAACTACTAATCTAGAATATTCTATGTACATAAACATGCATATGTTGATATAATTGTAGAGCCAAGGGAGGCAGAATCTATCGAAAAGGGGATATTCTTTGCTGGCTGGCTCAATTATTTTGTGTTTTATGGAATAGGCTAAATATTGACCCCATATCACCTAGCAGGCAATTTTTTTTGAAAAAAAGAGATAAAATAAGTTCGTAGACGAAGTATCTATCCCCCCATTTCAGTAAAATCTTTGTTTTACCACCCACGTATAGAGATCCTCTCTCCATACCCCTGCGACTATTTGGTATATTTAGTTAAAAAAAAAACCGGCGAAGTTCAACAATAGCGTCCCAGGAGTGTGAACGCTCCAATGACCGGCATCTGTCACTATCACAGCTGAACGCCGTCAACGCTATTCACCATCAACTAAGGAGCAAATTTCACCCAGATCACGTTTTTTTTTGGTACTATTTGGACAATGTGTTAATAACTCGTTAGGATTAGGGTTCAGGTAAGTACATGGGTTAGGATTAGAATCATCTGATTTATAATTAGCTCTAGGGTTAGAGTTACTACGGCTTGAATAAGGTTTATGATTAAGGTTAGGATAAAGGTTAGGCTTAGTGTTAGGGTCAAGATTAAGCTTATGCTTATGGTTAGGCATAAATTTGTAGTTGATATCCCTATTAGTTTGTTTATTAGATGTATCACACAGTGAAACAGTATTAGTATTTACTGGAGGAAGTTTCGAACAGAATTTATTGTTCATAATCATATACATCACCAATTATAATCACTACTTCGAAACTTGAGTTTTATAGTTTTCTTTGTCTCCTCCTATTTGTCGTCGTCAGTGGGGTGGTAGACTTTTCTAGATATCTGGACGGATAGGTGTTGAATCATTCCCATTACACGTGTTGATTTGCAGTTGATTCGATCAACAAAGCTTCTGTTATCAATCTCTCCCTCCCTCCATCTTGTTTCATTCGATTTTAAAACTGTCATCCTATCCCATCCAGCCTATTGTATTGTTATGTGTGATTGCATGTAATGCTATGGCTAAACTATTCTCTAGATTTCTTATCTTTCTTATTCGGGTCAATCAATCTTGATTTTGCCGCTGGGATTTTATGCTTGGCTAGTCTGACTGACTGCCCCTGTTCTACTAGTTTGACCTATGTATTTGACCTGACAATCATTGCAAGCAGGGAGGGTATTAGATAAACTAAATTGTTTTGTTTTAATGGCTCCACAGGATCCTTTAACCCATAAAGTTTGTTTCTAGTTGAGTGCGTGGGTTTGAATGCCACTTTTATTCCTCCCTTGTCAAGAATTCTGCGTAAGGTGGTTCCCGATGTTCCTTCCTTGTATGGAATTACTACTGATGATTTCGATTCCTTATTGTTGATGTCGTCATTAATAATAATATTATTATTATCACTATCGCTACTATCATTATTTATTTTTACATTTCCTTACATATTTCCTGACTAATTTATCAGGTTAATTATTATATTTCAAGGCTTCTCTTATATGCCTCACTTTCTGTCTTAGATTTTCCTTGGTACTACTTATTCTTTTGTGCTCTAATATGGAATTACTTACTACCACAGCGCCCAAGTTTTACACACATATATTGTAGTTGATGTCATTTATTTTAATTTCTTATTATGCATGTTTTCCCCGTAAGTAGTCAGCGATCCTCTTGCTTGAAACCACAATAATTCAACCGCGGACTTTTTTGGAAGACTGCAGCAAGCTGGATGAGAGAGAAAGAGAGATAAACGATTCGCAAAAAACAGTTTATCTCTAGTCATCTCGGTGAATACACACATGTACAGAATGGTTGTGAGACCTGGTCACTGAGAGTGGAAGACATGAAAAGACTAGCTGTCTTCGGTCATAGGTGCCTACAAGGCAGTGGGAGTGGAGTAGGGAGTCGACTATCCATTGTCAGCCAGCCGTTGACCGGAGTCCGGCTCATACGCCTTTTTCAATAGGGCCAGACATGCACCAGGTCATCCAATAAGCCGTTTGTCCATACGTCTGACGGTGAGCTTCATACGCCAGTCGTTGGAGGTTTGGAATCAGGCAGGGTTTAGCCATCTCTCCTAGACTGTCATCCAATGGACAGTCAACCCGATGAAGAGCACCGGTCATCCATCCGCTTTTGACCTCTCACTTCGGTGAAAAAAAAACAAACACCTGCGCCACGTGAAGGCAGTGAGTAGGACTTCCTCAGGAGAGGCTATTTAAGACGCCCGGTCATATGAGAGCATTTCAAGAGGTGTACGGTGGGAGGGGTGGCAAACCCGCAGCGCAAGGCACCTACCCCCGACCATCCTGAGGCTTTGGAGGCTTGTTTTCACTACACCTTTACTTAGCCATAGTGGGAGATGTTCTCGAGATATCGAGCACCAAAAAATCAAGTTCCTAGAGCAACAACGGCCGATACAACTCGCTCCACCAACACAGTTGCAGTTGAATTGGTAGATACAAATTTGAAGTGGCCAGCTAGTCTAGTCTAGTCTATGTACTTGTTATTTGCCAAACAGTTGTACACTACAGGAGATGTAAACACTCATTGAGTGACATGCTTTTTGTTTGTTTTGTTTCTTTTTTCCAGAGCAGAGGAGTCACTCAGGCCTTTATTGAATGAAGTTGAACAAGTCTCAGGGAGTTGTAGTACTTCTTCTTTGAAACAACCGAAATTACTTGTCGGTGGTGTCCTCGACTTGAATGCGCCTAGAATTAAAATATACAAGATCACTTCACCAGCATCATGTAAACATGAGGTGAGGGGTATGTTAGTTAGTTAGTTACTCTTTCTTTAAACCTGTATGTCTAATATTCTTTCAGAAAAAAAAGAAAGATTGAGTTGAGCGAAGAAATATTTTCACTTTTCAATTAGATCCCCCCTCATCTCATCTCACTCTGGCTCTACTCTAATATATACACACATGTATAGCATTTTAATTACAGTACACAATTCAATTCAATAACTGAATAGTATCTATTTTAAAACACGGAAAATACCCATTGAATTATGAAGAAAATAAAAGACAGATTCAGCGAAGAAAATGCTTCTTTATCGACGAAATCATCTTCCTTCAGAGGCTGTATATTGGCCGCACAAAGCGACCGCACCCTTTCCAAACGCATCTCTGAATATTATCCGGCATGGTTAGCAAAGGGACAATGCAAGACAATTACTAGCTCAATTCTCGAGGATTTGGTGAACTCAAGCCACGTAGCTCCACCAGAGTCGTCTTTCAACATCATCTACAAAGTGAAGCCAAATTATACAAAGGGTGTCAGGTTTCGGCTTTTGTGTATGGAGCGGAGGCGCTGGCAATTCATCAATACAACCCTGAACTCTGTACACAGAAAAAGTTTGTCCAGTCTCTTATTCACCTTGGTCTTAACCTCTTCACTTATCGTTCCCTGTAAAACATTTTTGATTTTTTCTTTTGTTCTTAATCTTTAATTTTACTTTTAGTTTGCTTTTGCTTTAATAATTATCAGTTTCATATGCTCCTTTTGTGTACATTTTCACACCCTCTTCACACTTGTTAAAATGACACTCAACTACCACCTTTATTCTCACTCAAGAGCAATTTTAACCTCATCAAACTTCTATCTTTGTTCCGTTGAGGAGTACCATGTAGTTTACAACTTTTAATTTTCACATCTAAAGCCACTTATGACTAATTACATCAATTATGTCAACCCCCCCCCCCCGCCTATTACTAAGTAATGGACCACTATACATTTTTCTAAGTATAAATACGACTGTACAGCCAGCCTCTGAAGATGATTTCGCCGATGAAGAAGCATTTTCTTCGCTGAATCTGTCTTTTATTTTAAAACCATCAATTCCCTTTATGAATTTAGATAAAGCAATTAATAAGAAGACAGAAAGATTGAGCTGAGCGAAGAAATATTTTTACTTTTCAATTAGATCCCCCCTCATCTCACTCTCTGGCTCTACTCTACTCTAATATACACACATGTATAGCATATTAATTACAATACACAACAACAAACAGTTTACCAATCATTAAGTGGCACTGATATAGGTTTGTTTGTTTGTTAACAATAATTAGTCCGCCAGTATCAACATTGTTGACCAGGCAAGGCGTGATAATTAACGAAGAAAACTGATGAATACACACACAATCAGGAAGGTAGAAGTGGTTACATACATACAACCTGTGGATTGCATAATGCATAATTTTGGAATATAAGTGAAGAGTAATTAAGGAATCAGCGTGTGTGTGTGTGTGCACAGGTTGATACCTCAGTGACAAATTGGTAAAGAAAATAGAACACGATTTGAACAATGATAAATTGTAACTAAGGTTGAAGGGGTTATAAGAATAAAATAATTTTTACAAGGATAACACATGTAATTAAAGATGAAGAAGTAGTCAGAGAAAATAATAAAATAATTTGGACAATTATAATTTTTAAAGGTTTAGGCGGAGGGGGAGGCGAAGTAGTTGGTCCGGTTAGGGTTAGATACTGATCGATTGATTTTTGTTTCAGATGAACTCTGTGTGGTCAAGTATGTTAAACTTGTTGTTGTAGATACATTTAATAATGTCTTTGCCATGTAAGCAGCCAGCTGACGAGAAGGCAACGAAATAAACACTGATGGTAGCATTTTATTCTGCTAAAACCACTGTAGTTCTTGCTTTGTTCAAAACAATCTCGTTTTGTTTTCCATTCATTGGGAAATACAAAAACCTCTATTATAATGAATATCATATGCCACCCAATGCCCAAATTTTTTCAAACCGTTAAAAGTGAACTTGGTTTGGACATATTATACATTGTTATTTATTATAATAAAAATGATATGCAGAATATATAATAGAGTAGACGCAGAGTGAGATGAGATGAGGGGGGGATCTAATTGAAAAGTGAAAATATTTCTTCACACTCTCAATCTTTCTCTTTTCTAAATGTCTAAATGGGGATTTTATTTTTCTATATTAAATATTCTTTCACAATTTCTTTTTAATTTTTTCAAGGTGGCTATTCCTCCAGGTGTACAGTATAAACCATTAACTAAAGCAACTGGTCAACCAGCAAAAACCTATCCCTTTACTTTGGATGCATTTCAACAACAAGCTATCACTTGTATTGATAATAATCAATCGGTGTTACTGTCAGCTCACACTTCTGCTGGGAAGACAGTTGTCGCGGAGTAAGTTTTAACCAATCAACTGCCCTTTTTTTACATTTCAAATACTGAATAATTCAAGAGAGAGGGAGGGGAGAGTGGAAAGAAATGCGCGGTATAATTGGCTAGCTAGTTAAAAGAGTATACCAGCTTAACTATTTCCTACATATTATAATTGAATTCAATTAATTGTTCCCTTGGGTTCCTAGTGTGGAGAACATAGGGCTTCAACTGCATGTCTCCACTTCCTTGCTTCTGTCTTCTGCCGCTGTACTTAATTTTCACCTGTATCCATGTTAGTCCATAATGTTTCATCTATCCTCTTCACACGATCTCCTCCTCCATGTCACCCTTGCACTGACGACCCACTCGCCGCCTCCCTTTTGAGGTTCCTCTTGAGCAGTGGCCTGACGCGCGCGCAATGTCACCCAGCGGCGGCCTCCTCAGCGAGTGTCCAATCCATTTCCATCACTGTCTCCTGCATATTTGTTTTTGTTGGGCGATTGGTTCTTGTTTTGTTTGTTTGTTTGTTTGTTCCCATAGTTTCTTGTTGTTGGTGATTCTTTCCGGCTCAGCCCGGCCATCTGATCTTCAGTATAGATCCAGCGAAGACAATTAGTTGTTGATAAAGGTAACGTCTGCAACAGGCGGTTGGTGGAAATATTCTTTCTGATCCGTATAGAAGAGCTGACTGACTTGACGTTGTTTGTATTGAAAATCCGATCGAATTTTGTTGTTGATGTTGGCTGAGTGATGAAGATTTCCAGACTGGTTATTTCAGGTTGATGACTGAATGTGTTTCTCGCCTTCCCAATAAGGTTATTATAAAGCCCTAGAACTGTTAGAAGAAGCATTTGAGCAAAGGCATTTTGTGGCCCAGACTTTCATAGACAGAAACTCCTGGAATTTCCGAATGTTAAAAGCAACGATGCAGCATTACTTAAAGAAAGTTATCTCACAAGATGCAAGCCCTATAAACTGACATTAAAGCATATGAACTATGAAGAAATTAAAAGACACATTCAGCGAAGAAAATTTTCCTTATCGACGAAATCATCTTCAGATTTTGTACAGTCGTATTTATACTTCCAATATATATATATATATATATATATATATATATATATATATATATATGGTGGTCTATTATTGAGTAATAGGGGGTGACATAATTGATATAATTACTCGTAAGTGTCTTTAGACGTGAAAATTAACAGTTGTAAATTAAAACATTTCCCGATACGAATTTAAAACAAGCAATAAATGTGGTTAATAAAGCAGGATTTAATGAATTCATCAAATTTCGGTAGAACTCGTCAGCTGCTCAGTACTCTACATACACGGATATATATACACTATTGAAATTACATTGGGAGATATAAGACTGATAAGTAAACAAACTACGTTGAATTAGTCATGCAGAAAGACGACAGGTGTGAATGTTTTCCAGGTCATGTTCAAATAGATAAGGCGAGAGAGAGAGAGAGAGTATAAGAGATCAGAATTAACATAAATTGCACTACACTTCAATTACATCACTTAGATAAATAATTAGTCATTAGGGAACATAACGAGAATTGCAAACAGACTAATACCAATAGTAATAGTTATAATAGTAATAGTGTTGAAGTGAGTTAAGATAATCTTGCTGATGAAACATAGTTTTAAATGAATCAATAATAATAATAATAATGATAGTAATAATAACAATAATAGTAAGAAGAAGAGGTAGAATAATAGTAATAACAAGTAGAGAATAATAAGTAAAGCATATTACCATGGTAGCTTCAGAGTGACGACCATCTCCTTTCGTATACAGAGAGCTGGTTTGTAAATTCGAATTGCACAAGCCTCTGCAATTGCAAGCATCTTCTTGTTTCTTTGTTTGCTGACGATGGTGAATGACTTGACCGCGTCGATATCATGTCCGTAATCCACGAGATGTTTTGTTATTGAGGTTTATTTTGGCACTTTGAACTCAGCTGTTTTCAACCATTTTGGCAAATGCTCCATCATGCGAGTAGACAATCGCCTTTCCGTACGACCTATGTATTTGCTGCCACAAACACACTCAAATTGATATATGCAGTTTGAAGTGTCGAGGATTGGCGACTGGTCTTTCCCAGATTGTTGAAGCACTCGCTTGGTGGTGTTATGGATAACAAGTTTTGCAGCATAATAAGTTCTCTTGATGGCTTTGTCGAGTCTTCGTTTCACTGCTTCTTGTACGTCATCTCCTTTGAATGGCAAATTGATGTAGACAGGTTTCTTTGGAACTGTTTGAATTGTTTTGCAAGGGGTAGTTTCTTTAGAGTATTTATTAATGAACTTCTCAGGATATCCATTCTTAGATAAAATATCCTTCAGAGATTTTATTTCATGTTCAATAGTACTGTCAGAACAAATTTTCCGTGCTCTATTGAACAGTGTTCTGACTAAGTTCTTTTAGTACTGGATTGGAACAAAGCATTTGAAATGCATGTACTGTCCTGTCCATGAAGACTTTCTAAATGTAGATCTATCGATTGTGCTATCGTTATTCGCACGTGTCTTTCTGCATGACTAATTCAATGTAGTTTGTTTACTTATCAGTCTTATATCTCCCAATGTAATTTCAAAAGTATATATATCCGTGTATGTAGAGTACTGAGCAGCTGACGAGTTCTACCGAAATTTGATGAATTCATTAAATCCTGCTTTAGTAACCACATTTATTGCTTGTTATAAAGTTGTAAATTACATGGTAATCAACGGAACAAAGATAGAAGTTTGATAAGGTTAAAACTGCTATTGAGTAGTGAGAATGAAGGTGGTAGTTGAGTGTCAATTTAACAAGTGTGTCGAGAGGGTGTGAACAGGTGTACAACAGGGAATATATGAGAGTGATATAATAGTGAATTAATTATTAAAACACAAGCAAACTAAAAGTAAAATTAAAAAAAAATCGAAATGTTTACAGGGAACGACTAGTGAAGAGATTAAGACCAAGATAGAATAAGATGTTACAACAGAAGACAAGGGCCAGCACGTATTTCATGTATATTTCATGTAGATTATTATAGCTTATTCAAAAAGACAAACACAGTCTTCTGATTGGTTGTTTCTGGTTTCTCGGAAAGTTAAGCCATCCATTTGCGAATCTTATTTGCCCACTTTAAGTCTGCTGTGATTGGCTGTTGAATCAGTCTTGTTGATATTTTCTCACGGCCAATATTAGTGATCTAGACATTGACGTAAATTAATGCCTACCAATTGGCTAGCAGCCTGCTCTCACCACAAAGAGACTGGACAAACCTTTTGTCTGTATACAGAGTTCGGGGTTGTATTGACGGAAAGCCAACGCCTCCGCACGCTACACGAAAGCCGAAATCTGACACACTTTATAACAATTGGCCCTCACCTTGTAGATGATTCTGAAAGACGACTCTGGTGGGGCTACGTGGCCTGAGTACACCAAATGCTCGAGAATCGAGCTAGTAGTTGTCTTGCATTGTCCTTTTGCTAACCTAGCGTATCGGATAATGTTTAGAGATGCGTTTAGAAAGTGTTCGCCAAGTTGTCCGGGCGGCCAATATAACTAGCTCCTCCACACGACCAGGTGAATTTATAAACACACACACACATATTGAGGTAGCCTGTCTAGAGAGTCAGTTTATCCTTCACCCACCCACCCATTGATCATTTGTCGGCTGTGTAGAAATTGATACTTAGCTCAGTCATAAAGAAGACTTTCCTCAGTGATGAGAATCTCAGCTACACTATCACCTTCAAATTCAACACTCATAAGTAGCAGTTTCTTCTTAGCACCGTCTGGATTCATGTTTTTCTCGATAAATCTTGAATAATCTATCCATTCTCTATGAGGAGGACTTGTCTGAGTCGCCCCAGTTCCCCATCGATTCTATCACTGGAACATACCCCCACCTTATTCTTGAGGATAAGAAGTGGATCAGATTTATCTTCTCAAAGGGACTCAACTATCGAAATTTGTTGTACTGATCATTCCTGTAGATCGATCTTTGACGGAGAACCATCAGATCTCCTTGTAAGTATAAGTATAAATACGACTGTACAGGGGAAGCAAGCAAGATGATTTCCTCGATAAAGAAGCATTTTCTTCGCTGAATCTGTCTACTTTAATTTTCTTTCATAACTCAAAGGGTATTTTCTTTCAGGCATATGAACTATGTTTCAGACATGAATTCTGGTAAAGCCACACTGTTGAACAACTAATTCTAAAACTCCCTGCCTATTCACAGAGAAAAAAATGGATAAAGGTCGCTTGCAATGTCATAAAGAGCGGTCGCGACTTATGCTTGTTTTTTTTAAGGAACAGTCAGATATATATATATATATATATATATATATATATATATATATATATATATATGGCTAACACACCAGGTATGGACTGCTAATCAATGGTCATTCATTCAACGGGAAAAATAGTAAAGAGTTTAGTGAAGAACTCGTATTTTGATTTTCTTTATGTGTATTGATATGTATCCACATGATATGTGTGTTTTGTTTTTGACAGTCTGTTATATTTTGCTATGTATATATGGATCGATTTTCCATTATAATTGACAATATGATTTTGTCTGTCCACTAACTAAATAAACAATGTATGACCTTGTTGTCATATGACATTACAACCAATCATGTTAAGACCGTCTATTGATTCGTCCATTTTTGAACATTTTCTCATACACTTGTGTGACATTGATTTCTGCCTTCTCGCGTCAAGACTATTAATTATTCGACCAGTACATAACATATGTATATATACATAATCCTATCTCGGTTACTTTCAGGTATGCGATTGCAACTGCCCTACGTGGAAAACAACGTGTAATTTATACTACTCCGATTAAAGCACTCAGCAATCAAAAGTACAGAGAGTTTTTTGAAGCTTTCCCAGAAGTTGGATTGTTAACTGGTGATGCTTCAATCAATCCTAGTGCTAGTGTATTGATTATGACAACAGAAATTCTTCAATCCATGTTGTACAAGTAAGCTGATCGATTTATTTATTTATTGATTTATTGATTACTTCTTGAAAACACCCACATGGGTGAACATTAGAAAAGAAGAGAACATGAAGTTCAGCAAAGATGATGACGGACGATCTTTTCGGAGATTTCATTTCATTTTCTAAAGTAGTACAAAGCTGTACAATCGCATTGAAATACATAATTTTACTTACATGCATACAATACAATACTTGTTTGATTCCACACAGAATTACGACGGCTAATAAAAGGTGACAATTATTATTTTCAACTAGATAGATGGTTTACGAGGAAAGGCTTAGAGACAAAATTACACACAGGATTAGAACGGATAACCAGGGTGTGTAAAAGTGAGACTATATACTACTGAATAGTCTGTCTGTCTGTTTTCGACATAGAACTTTCCACCGATGTGCGCCAGTTCAAGTCGTCACACTCCCTCCATGCATCACACAAAGCAAGAGAAGAAAGTAGAAGAAATGCATAATAGAGAGAGAGACAGTAAACAGAGGAGGCGTGAGACAACAAAGGAATAGTAATAACGAAAGAAGAACAATATAGTTTCATTGGAAATCATAAATCACAAGGAGTGGATCCATCTGAGCCAGCCAGCCAGCCATTGAGAACGATCACTTTGAGCCAGCCATATCACCAATTGTTTACAGCCTTCATTGGTTTTTACCATCCTGAGGACCCGAACCAACTAGTCAGGAAGTCTACACCTTCTTACGTGACTGGCTGGTTGGTTGGCTTAAACTAACTGTTGTGGATTTCATTGACTGACGAAGCCATGTTTTGGTTTGACCATCACTGGTTAGCTCTTTCCCAGCCTGACCAATCCTATGTCAGCCAGCTAACATCGTCCATTGTCGAGGAAGGCGATGACTAGACATTCATTCGTAACACCTGTCCTAACCATCTCACTCAGTCGATGTAATATCACAGCCTCGTCGATTGATTTCCCTTCCTACGTACCTAGCACTCGATCGATGCCTAACCTGAATATGGCTGACCGTATTGTATCACCAACTAACGCAGGAGATAGAACGCAGACACCTATGATCGAAGACAGCTAAACAGGCTTTTCATGTCTTCCACTCTTGATGACCACTTCTCACAGCCAGTCATAAAGGAAGACGGAGCGAACTAGTGAGCAGTGCACTCGCCCTTTGGTCGATAGCCAATCAGCCGGATATCACGTCTACTAAGCTAGTGACGGCGTAAACTGGCGGGTGGATGCGAAACGAGCCCCATGTATCCGTACTCAGGTGAGATTTCGTCAGAGATCAACCCGTTGGGACTGGTTGATGGTACTTCCCAAATAAGTAAAGCGGTCAACGTGCTCCACCAACCACTGCACTCCCTATTTGTAAACTGGGAGTCAGTGTAGTCCAGTCGTGTAACTACATCGGGAAACCATACTATGATGTGATGTATGACGTTAGTGTTAAAGAAATAAATCTGATAAGGGTATTATTCAGTGACCATGGAAACACTGATATGAACAGTTAGAAAGGGATTTATGTTTTTTTAGATTTCAAAAAGTATGATTAGATTAGAATTACGTCAGTTAAAAGTTGACGGGGAAACGTAAAGTTAAGTATTACTGTTATGTGATGATATTTCAATAGGCAATGTTAGCTGACAGGACGTCTGGTTGGAAAAGAGCTAGCCAGTGATGGTCAAACCAAAACATGGCTTCGTCAGTCAATGAAATCCACAACAGTTAGTTTAAGCCAACCAACCAGCCAGTCACGTAAGAAGGTGTAGACTTCCTGACTAGTTGGTTCGGGTCCTCAGGATGGTAAAAACAATGAAGGCTGTAAACAATTGGTGATATGGCTGGCTCAAAGTGATCGTTCTCAATGGCTGGCTGGCTGGCTCAGATGGATCCACTCCTTGTGATTTATGATTTCCAATGAAACTATATTGTTCTTCTTTCGTTATTACTATTCCTTTGTTGTCTCACGCCTCCTCTGTTTACTATCTCTCTCTCTATTATGCATTTCTTCTACTTTCTTCTCTTGCTTTGTGTGATGCATGGAGGGAGTGTGATGACTTGAACTGGCGCACATCGGTGGAAAGTTCTATGTCGAATACAGACAGAGTGTCGTTAAAAAAAATAAAAGATAATTCTGCGAAGTAAGTTTTCATCTATTCACACGGTCAAGGAAACGTCTGCGCTTGATTACGTGGCATTCATTGATCCTGTAGTAGAAACACTAAAATTTTTCAACGGAGGAAGATGGCGACATTATCAGGTGAGGTGTTGTGAGGTACTTCCCCACTCCCCTACCTCCAATAACTGGATTTTCGGCTGGAATTCTTACGTGCACTTGGCGAAGTTTAGCCACCCGATTAGTATATAAAAATAACCACCACAACAGGTGTGTGGTGGTGGTGCTTTGCCCAACCGAGAGGAATGGCAAGCGGTCAATAATACCAAAATCTTCAAGTCTTCCTTCCTGCCAATCACCTCCAACAACCAATCTAGTAACATGCATTTTTCCCTATCATTTTCTAGACTGAATTGTATTGAGTGCCTCCAAAGCCTCAGGATGGTCGGGGGTGGGGTGCCTTGCGCTGCGCGTTGGACACCCCTCCCTACACCTCTTGAAATGCTCCCGTATGACCGGGAGTCTTACATAGCCTCTCCTGAGGAAGTCCTACTCACTGCCTTCATGTGGCGGAGGTGTTTTTTTTCTCCGAAGTGAGAGGGCAAAAGCGGATGACCGGTGCTCTTCACCGGGTTGACTGTCCATTGGATGACAGACAGTCTAGGGGAGATGGCTAAACCCTGCCTGATTCCAAACCTCCAACGACTGGCGTATGAAGCTCATCGGAGGTCACCAGTAGGCAGACGTATGGACAAAGGGCTTATTGGATGACCTGGTGCATGTCTGGCCCCATTGAAAAAGGCGTATGAACCGGACTCCGGTCACCGGCTGGCTGACAATGGATAGTGGACTCCCTACTCCACTCCTACTGCCTTCTAGGAGGTCACACTTGGTTGGTTGTGTAAAGGCTAGAGCTGCGCTCTCAAACAAAAGGCCGAGCGATGGTGGGGACATCACTCGTACCTAATTTCCCATGAAACTTCATGGTTCATGAAGCCGGCTCATCCTCCCGTAGGGGAGATAGCCGAGGTAAAGTAAAGTAAGTATTGTATTGAGTGCAAACTGTCAAAATGAACCAGCATTTAGAACTGAACCTCTGATCAATTGTGTCCCAAATATCTTATTAGTAAAACCTGCAACTTTACCACACTGATTGATGTGTTAGATGTGTTAGAATCTTCAGGGGAATATTACTCCTCTTCAGGATACAACTAGGCCTTCTTGAAGAATTTCAGCAGGCAGAATTGTTTATTTTATGCCGAATGTGGTCAACTGTCCACCGTCAGTGTCGTCAGGGTGCGGACTGCAGTGTTAATTCTCCTCTCTGAGTGACGACCACATTGTATTACTGAAAAAAACGTATACGATGATCAGAAGTTTCATTCTGCCTGCATATTCTACTGGTGTAATTAATGTAGGGTAAAGTAGAGAGAGTGACGTTTTTTCAAATTGTTCGATTCTATGATTACTGAATTTTATTCACATTATAAAAATAGTTGGGGGGGGGGGGGCAGTTACGTTGATAGGTGGTCAATCAACCACTCACCATTATTGATCAAATTTATTCGTTTGTCGATCGTATATGCTGAATAAAGGCAGTTTGGTCTCAGTTCAATATGCGATACGTCATTTAAGTACATTAGTAACATAGAGATATATCGCTTTAACGCCTCTAATATACTTTCCCCGACCGATAGCTGCTACCTTGACGTGGTGGTGGTGGTGGTCAGGCTTACACATTACGATAACCCAACAAGCTACACTGGCTGGAACCAATGTTCCTGCAGGTCCTACCATGCCAAGAAGGTTGTTAGGAGATAGCGATTAGACTAAAAGCAGTTACCCGCATAGTGCAACAATCTTTCTTTCACTATGCTGGGGGGTCTGAGGGCGAAGAAGTCCTACTTCTGGGAAACAGAGGGGTGTAACAGCTACAGTGAGGTGTTTCCCTCTCAGATGAACAGCATGCCAGCCAGCTAGCTACGCTGCTGTCTCTCCACTCTGATGGACCGCGGGGGGGTTAGAAAAGGTCGACCCCGAAAATTGTACATTCCAACTTACCCCCCACCTACGGTGGTCCATCACCGGCGGTAAGTTTACTAATACGGAACCAAACCAAAAAACCAGTTCCTATAGGCCGTGTGTGACCGACCTGGTTGAAGCCATTGTCCCCTGGACTCTGGGGTCAGGAGGCAACCCTCTCTTTCTGTTTCAGATACCCGAAGAACCAAGCAGCTTCCACAGTGGTGTGGGCAGCCGGGAAGTAACAACCGCCCACACACACACACACACACTTCTGAAAGTATGCAGTGAGAGCAGCCTGCTAGCCATTTGGTTGACATTAGTCTCTGTCAATGTCTAGGTCACTAATATGGACCGTGAGAAAATACGAACAAGCCTGTTTCAACAACCAATCACAGAAAACTTAAACGTGGGTAAATATGATTCGCAGATAGACGGCTCCACTCCACTTTCCGTTCGAGAAACTCGAAAACAACCAATCAGAAGACTGCGTTTGTCTACTTGACTAGGCTATAATAATGTATGTGAAATTTGTATAAATACGTGTTGATTTTCGTAATAAAACGATCTGTCGCCTGCCCCTTGTCTTCTGTTGTTACAAGTACACGGAGCCTTCCTGAGCATCGTTCTTCTAATATACTTTGAAAAAATCTCTTGACACCCCTTGAAACTTAGGGATTTTACAATAATTCGTTTATTTTGTATTGATTCAGTGTTTTTTATATAATACCGTTAACCTTTTGTTTTTTTTCTGTTATATATGTATAGAGGTGCTTCAATGATGCGAGAGGTTGGCTGGGTTATATTTGACGAAATCCATTATATGCGCGATCCTGAACGTGGAGTTGTATGGGAAGAAACTATAGTACTTCTGCCTGATAATGTTCGTTTTGTCTTCCTGAGTGCTACAATTCCTAATGCTCGACAATTCGCCGAATGGATTGCCCATCTTCATCATCAACCATGTCATGTCATCTCCTCTGAATATCGTCCTGTTCCTTTACGGCATTATCTTTATCCTGCGGGGAGTAACGGCTTATTTCTTGTATTAGATGAGGTGAGTATATCTCGTTGGTATGTATTTATAATTGATCGGTATCGGTAAGGTGGTTGTATACAGTTTGATCACTTTATGAAGAAAAGATCTTTGTCCCTACTCACTCATATAAGTATAAACTTGAGCAGGCACTGTGGTGTGTGGTAGAGTATAACTACTCCATTATGGATAAGATTTTATTTTGATAAACTGTCACACAGTGCAGTGTAGTGTTTGTTATTCAGTAATATTAACTGATACTTAGTTACTTTACTTCGGCTATCTCCTACGGGAGGATGAGCCGGCTTCATGAACATCTCGAACCATCGCTGCTCAGGCGCGGAGATCTGATGCAAGGTTTTTCCACGACAAGGTTATCCATTTCTTGTTCCACAGACGGAGTCCGTACACGGTTTGTACCCCAAGCCCAGTCACTCCATATCAGCCTTGACTGACTGTACCAAGCCATGTGTTTTCAGCTGTCCACCCCTGCGACATCGCCAAGATGGAAACGGCGAGCAGGGATTTAGAACTGATTTCATTGACCAGATCGTCATCTGGTCGGCTCGGCCCAGAACATGGCCAAACCACCGAAGGCCACGTTGTTGGACCCATAGTTAGTTGGAATTTGGTTGATGTTGTAACAACGAGAGTTGATGAAGTTTCATGGGAATTGGGTACGAGTGATGCCCCCAGAATCGCTCGGCCTTTTGTTTGAGAGTGCAGCTCTAGCCTTTACACAACCAACCAAGTGTGACCTACAAGGCAGTAGGAGTGGAGTAGGGAGTCCACTATTCACTGGAAGCCAGCCGGTGACCGGAGTCCGGTTCATACGCCTTTTTCAATGGGGCCAGACATGCACCAGGTCATCCAATAAGCCGTTTGTCCATACGTCTGCCTACTGGTGACCTCCGATGAGCTTCATACGCCAGTCGTTGGAGGTTTGGAATCAGGCAGGGTTTAGCCATCTCCCCTAGACTGTCTGTCATCCAATGGACAGTCAACCCGGTGAAGAGCACCGGTCATCCGCTTTTGCCCTCTCACTTCGGAGAAAAAAAACACCTCCGCCACATGAAGGCAGTGAGTAGGACTTCCTCAGGAGAGGCTATGTAAGACTCCCGGTCATATGGGAGCATTTCAAGAGGTGTAGGGAGGGGTGTCCTACGCGCAGCGCAAGGCACCCACCCCTGACCATTCCGAGGCTTTGGAGGCTATATTAACTGATGGGATCACACGTTTCGAATACAATTTGTTATTGACACTCACAATCATATCAAGGTACTCACTCACTCACACAACGTTTTCCTTCATGTGGGGAATAGACTAGATATTTGTATAAAAATCAATATGGGATAATGTACATTCAGAAATATTGATAATAATATGAGTGTTAGCAATCAAGTACAATCAAATGGGGGTAATTAAGGCGAGTGTTTTTCTTATAGTCATAATAAGTGAGTAACTTGTTAGAGTGTTGTAATGATGTACGTGAATTGAATTGAAATAGAATACAATTTAAGCTTATTTATTATCCTCCTGAGATTCGACTAACTGATTGACTGACTGGTGGTAATAATATCTTCCATGCATATTTGTGGTATTTGCAATGAGTCATTTCTGTTGCATGTGTTGTGTATGTTGTGTTGGGTGTAGACCCAATGAGCGGCGGAGAACATGGCCAAACCACCGAAGGCGACGTTGTTGGACCAGTATTGGAATTTGGTTGATGTTGCAGCAACGACGACGCACTTCTTCGTTGGAGAGTTTGTCCTGCCAACGAACATGCAGAATGTACCTGAGGCACCAATGGTCTTCTACCTCGAGTCTGCGTAAATCTTCCTCGCGAAGAGGCCAGGTTTCGCAGCCATACAGGAGAACGGATCGTATAGAGGCTTGGTAGACCCGAATTTGAGTCCTGAGGCTGATCTCCCTCTTGCTCCATCGAACGCTCCTCAGCTTTAGAAACGCATTCGGGCGTTGGAGATTCGCGCATTCACTTCGTTTTTCGCTAGACCGTTGGGGAGCATCATGGATCCCAGATACCTGAAGGATGGCACAATTTCAATAGGTGCTCCATTCAGGGATGGGATTTCCTCATTGCTGGTGGATGTGTTGGAAAACGTTTAGGTTTTGGAAGTGTTAATTTCCAAACCGATAGTAGGCGCGAGGTGGTTTATCTGATCGAGCGCCTGTTGCATATCGGGGAAGTTTTCAGCTAATAACACGACGTCGTCGGCGAATTCGAGGTCGGTTATGTGAATATCGGGCGAAAGTTGGATGTCGTGGTGCTCGGTTAGGGTGTGCCGCAAAATCCAATCAACTGTGAAATTGAACAGGATGGGGGATGCTGGACAACCTTGCCGGACACCGCTGGTTACCTCAAAAGTGCGAGACTCTTCATCGTTCACTCGGACTCGAGCTTTGGTGTTGGAGTAGTATGACCTGAGCAGGTTGATTAGCTTGGTGGGAACTCCGTCGAGCTCCATTAGATACCAGAGTGCTCCTCGATCAACTGAGTTGAATGCCGCTCGGAAGTCGATGAAGCAAGCAACCGTCAGCTGTTGGAATTTGTCCCTGTGTTCCAGAATTCTTCGCAGTGTAAATAATTGATCAACACAGCCTCTTCCAGGTCGAAATCCGGCTTGATTTGGCCTTGTTCGCACGTGGCCTTCGGCAGGGAAGCGGTTCAGGAGAATGGAAACAAAAACCTTACTCATAGATGTAAGTGATTCTCTTTAGAAATACAACTAGTCTGAAGACAACTTGCTTCATCATATTTTACAAATTGAGGGGATGTGGAAGACTATTCAATGATGATGGACAGTTGTTTCTGCTGAAGACTGTTGTCTTTAAATCCCCTCTCCCCCGCCATCCCAGAAAACACAGCATCTTCTGTGAATTCCTGAATAAGAAAGGATACTTTATATACAAAGCTTTTCTGAATTCTGTTAGCAAAGCGCAGTCTGTGGTAGATACACTTGCTGAATACTCCTCCCTCCAAAATTTTGAATAAGGAATTTTATTTAGGCGATGAAATCCTGTCCTGTACTTCCAGGTGGTGGTTTTCCAATGGTTCTCTAACCAATGTCACAGCTGATGATGAAATTCTGTAACCAATCAATCAAATCTCTACAAACCAATACTTGAATATCGGTGAGATGCTCACTAGCGACTTTGCCCTATTCAGGTAGGTTAGGTAGTTACCTGGGTTGATTCGAATGAGAAGTCGTAACCACTGTGAGGTCCATCCAGATGTTGTCACGTATGAGGATGGATGGATGTCCCACCGATGACTACCAATTGGTTGGTGTCAGTCGCGGTAAATGCATCACGAATTGGTAGAAGTTAGAATTCATGCACTGCCTGCTGGCTATTGAAGAATCGGGTCCCAGTGAGTGATGGCTGAATGGTATACGAGCCAGCCAGCTAGCTGGCCTTGTAACCGGAGGGTCCTGGATTCGAATCCTAGTAGCTGCGTAGTGCTGATGAAACGGCTAGCTGTCCAGTACTTTTTGTTGTTGTTGTTTGTTACTCAATGGTTCTCTAACTGATATCAATCCGTAATCAACTCGTAAAATTCATATGTTTGGTGTTTGTGCTCTTACTCGTTAGTCTTGTCAGTTAGTTCTTGTCAACTTCACACAACCTGAACACAGTTGTAATATGAGTATGCAAAATATTTTCACACAACTATTAGCCTGTTGTTTAGCCTTGTGCGTCGGTGGCATAGAGGTTAGGTTAGGGCGTTCGCCGTCCATACATGTGATGCGGAGTTCGATCCCTGGTCGACGCACATCTGATATCAATGGTCGGTCTGGTCGGTTTAAATTTGGCCTACCGATATCACATGCTGAAAATTCTATACCTGTATAAAAAATACTGTATGGAGTCAAGCTGTAATAAAAAAAGATTTTGTCCATAGTTTTTTTTATCGTTTACATTGTGAAGTGATTTTCTAAGTACGTGACACTAACTATTGCACCAGCATTTTCATGAATATGTATATATTTAAACAGACAGCTTCTCAAGTATTGGTTTACGGGGATTTGATTGCTTTTATCAAGGCGAGATCATGAACCGAGATCAATCAGAGAAACGTTGGAAACCACTGTGAATTATGCTGTGTTCTAGTTCTATACGTACACACGCCCCGCGACCAGATCGTGTCGTGACCTGAAGGGTTTTGAGTTCGGTCCCCAGTGTGGGTCTGTCTGTCTGTTTTCGACATAGAACTTTCCACCGATGTGCGCCAGTTCAAGTCGTCACACTCCCTCCATGCATCACACAAAGCAAGAGAAGAAAGTAGAAGAAATGCATAATAGAGAGAGAGACAGTAAACAGAGGAGGCGTGAGACAACAAAGGAATAGTAATAACGAAAGAAGAACAATATAGTTTCATTGGAAATCATAAATCACAAGGAGTGGATCCATCTGAGCCAGCCAGCCAGCCATTGAGAACGATCACTTTGAGCCAGCCATATCACCAATTGTTTACAGCCTTCATTGGTTTTTACCATCCTGAGGACCCGAACCAACTAGTCAGGAAGTCTACACCTTCTTACGTGACTGGCTGGTTGGTTGGCTTAAACTAACTGTTGTGGATTTCATTGACTGACGAAGCCATGTTTTGGTTTGACCATCACTGGTTAGCTCTTTCCCAGCCTGACCAATCCTATGTCAGCCAGCTAACATCGTCCATTGTCGAGGAAGGCGATGACTAGACATTCATTCGTAACACCTGTCCTAACCATCTCACTCAGTCGATGTAATATCACAGCCTCGTCGATTGATTTCCCTTCCTACGTACCTAGCACTCGATCGATGCCTAACCTGAATATTGCTGACCGTATTGTATCACCAACTAACGCAGGAGATAGAACACAGACAGGTACCTATACTCGAGGATCAATAGTTCTTTAAACTCATATCAGCCAATGGCCTAATTTTAAAACAAGGTAGTTATTACAAATTGTCGTTCAGTCGAATTATCTTCATTTTTGTGTGAAACAATTTCAGTAGAAATATCTAAATTCATCTTTTATTTTAAATTATAAAATCTCTTTAAAGCTAAATAATTCTAACTTTAATTTAAGGGAAAATATATAGAAGAAAATTTTGAAAGAGCAATGCGCTCATTCACGACGGCTCCATCAACAAGTGATGTCAAAAGATCTCGGGATCAAAATACACGTAAGTCGAAGAGTTTCTCTTTCTTGTACTCCCTACACTTCAAATGTACTCCTGAAAAATATTAATTGCGAATATTTATTTCCCGATACGAATTTAAAACAAGCAATAAAAGGTGGTTAATAAAGGAGGATGATTTAATGATGGATTCATCAAACGGCATATATCAATTTGATGAGTGTGTGTTTTCGGGAAGCAAATACGCACAAGTCGTAAAGAAAGGCGATTGTCTACTCGTAGGGTTGGTTGAAAACAGCTGAATGCAAAGTGCAAAAGCTTTAATAACAAAATATCTTGTGGATTACGGATATGATATCGACGCGGTCAAGTTATTCCCTATTGTCAGCACACAAACAAAGAAACGGGTAGATCCTTGCAATTGCACAGAGGTTTGCACAATCCGAGTTTATCAACCAAGATCTCTGTGTACAAAAGGCGATCGATGGTCGTCATTCGGAATCTATTATGGTGATACATTTTACTTATTCTACCTCATTATTATTATCATCATTATTCTTGATTTATTTAAAACTATTCTTTATCAGTAAGATAATCTTAACTCACTTCAACACATTATTATTATTATTATTATTATTATTATTATTATTATTATAACTATTACTATTACTCAGCTCTTTCAAAGTGATGTGTAATTGAAGCGTAATGCATTTTGTCTTAATGTTTCGATCTCTCATACTCTCTCGCTCTCCCCTTATCTATTTGAGGATGATCTGGAAAGCATTCTAACCTGTCTTTCTGCATGACTAATTCAATGTAGTTTGTTTACTAACCAGTCTTATTATATCTCCCAACGTAATTTCAATAATATATATTAATATTATTATATATATATATATATATATATATATATAATATATAATATATATATATATTATATATATATATATATATTTAATATTATTCTTAATTAAGTCTGAAATGCAGAGGTTGAATGTAATATATAACCAGAAATTCATATCCTGCAAAAATCCTTCTAATATGTGGAAACTATTTAAGGAAATCACTGGTGGTAAGCAGATAAACAATATTCCATATTCTTTTGATGTATGTACTCTTAACAAATCTTTTATTTACTCTCCCTCAAATGCCATGCTTCCCAGCATCACTTGTGTTAATAATAGCCCCTTTCCAGGTTTTAACACAAATGATGTTCAAAAGTGCCTCAAGTCTCTAAACCCTTCCCAGAGCTTAGGTCCCGATTATGTACCTAGTATTATTTTTAAAAAATGTTCTGATATTCTGTGTCACCCTCTTACTGATCTATTTAACAAATCTTTTTCCGATAATATTGTGCCTGCCGTTTGGAAGGACATTAAAGTTGTACCCATACCTAAATCTTCTACTGGAGCATGTGTCAAATTTAGACCCATTGCTATTACGTCTCCTTTTTTGAAAACTATGGAGAAATTACTTTTACTTAGTCTTGAACCTTCGCTTAAATCCTTTAATGACCCTAAACAATTTGCCTATAAGCACAGTAGAAGCACTTTAGATGCAGCTGCCGTCTTATATCATAACATTGCTTCCAGTCTAGACAAGGGGGCTAAATTTGTTCGTTGCGCCTTCCTAGACTATACATCTGCTTTCGACTCGGTCCCTAGGGACATCTTATTAAATAAACTTGCTGCTAGTCAAACAGAATGTTGGGCTGTTAACTGGTTACATTCCTATTTCTCAGATAGAAAGCAGTACACCGTATATAAAGGGAAGTCTTCCACTTCATTGCCTACTGAAGCTGGTGTCCCTCAAGGTGCTGTTCTTTCTCCTTTTCTTTTTTCTTCTTGCATGACTTGCCTCACTCTGATGAAATAAACTTTGTGAAGTACGCTGATGATTTAACGGTTTCAATGGCTGTTAACTCCCAGCTAGATTGTACTAAAATAAATAGCTTTCTATCGGAAGTCAGCAAATGGTCTGAGTCTAACGGTCTTAAACTGAATCCTTCTAAGTGTCAAACTGTTGATTTCAGCTTAAGATGTAAACGACAGTTAAAAGAAGTCATCGATTCTCATGACAGTTGTAAAATTGACGACAATGATATAGGAATCAAATCAGAAATTAAGTATCTTGGACTCATTCTCTCTTCTGATCTCTCCTGGTCTTCCCATGTCTTAGCAATCTCCAGTAAAATATTCCGCCTGACATTTTACATTAAGAAGTTAAGACACTCGGGTATAACTCAACCCCTCATCCTACAGTTCGTAAACTCTTGCATCCTACCTATTCTTCTTTATTGCTCACCCTTATTCTTTCCTGGTTTGCTTAAAAAGGACTATGTCACAATTCGTAGAATACTGAAGACTGTCAGTAGGGTGAGTGGTGTCCCAGTGGACCACATAGTTAACGTCGTTGTCGATAGGCACTTGACTTCGTGCAATAAATTTGCTAAAGGGATTTTGTCTGACTTGGAGCATCCGCTTTACCCTCAGCTTTCACCTTGCATCTCCTCAGGTAGAACAAGGAGTAACTTCAGAAAACTGTATGCTCGCACGTCTAAGTAAAAAATTCTATGATACCATACTTGGCACGTATTTTATGTGATGAAAATAGTGTCAGGCAAGAATTAACTAACCTTTTTTCATCTAGTAAATAAACAATTTCCTCCATCCATCCTTATATACCTTCAAGTTTTACTTTTATTACTTCTATTATATTTATGGTCCTGTTACTTCTCTGTTTTACTCTCATAATTGCAAACACCAACTTATCTCCATGACGGCTGTAATCTTTGTTTTTCCCCTCACCATATCATGTAAAGAGAACATTATATTCAATATTTTTAAACATGTTAGGATTTCTATACCACATTGACAATACTGTGTGGCACAAGCCAACGGCAATTTTCACTTGTATTCTTATTATTATTATTACCCTAGCTGTTATCATTATTATTGCTATTTCCATTTTATATGCTGCATGTTTTTGACACTACCTCTATTGTAAATGTGGAAAATTTTCTGTGTGATTAATTTTATTTATAATTTGAGGAAATTAGATGCAATATTGTGATTAATGCTGAAAATTCCATTCTGTATCACAAGTACTGTTTTTGGAATAAAGTAAATCATTATTATATATATATATATATATATATATATATCCGTGTATGTAGAGTAGAGTACTGAGCAGCCGACGAGTTCTACCGAAATTCGATGAATCCATCATTAAATCATCCTGCTTTATTAACCTTTGTGACTTCTTTGAAATTTAATTTGTTTGAACAGTCTAATGGATGTGTTTGTTTCTATAATTTAGAAATAGGGAAATGCAACACGAAATTCAGGATGTAGCTCTGAACCAGTTCATCCGAATACTAGATACTGTGCTATTTTTGTGGTAAAGATAATAACAAGACATTATATTGCGATTTTGAGATTTACGGAGACGGAACTTTGAAAAAGCATATATTCGTCAAGACATCTCATCCGACAGTTAGTTGTACGACAACGCTGCATGGCAAGTAATTAACAACGTAAACTTACGGAATCCTTCGAAGTCGAGACTGGAGTAAGAGAAGCTGGCTGTCTAGTATCGATGATTTTCCTGATTGTAGTAGATTGAATAATGCGACAGAATAGCGGTCCAAGCAATGGAGAAATAGGCATAAAATGGAATCACACAAAAAAATAACTTGGAGCATCTGGACTTCGCCGATGTGATATATATGTCTGATTTCCCACAAAGTGCTGGAAGATATGCAAATGAAAAGCAACAAGTCGGCAGAACACTCATCCAGAGAAGATAACACTTTCTTCAGGTGAACATAGAGAAACCAGAGATAGGTGGTGAAGATTCTTGGCCAACACCAACAGACAACAATCAGCCAGCACAAATGGTAGGAACCTGAAAGAAACAACCTCCTTTACCTACCCACCGACATGGGAAGCATCGTTTCAACTACAGGCTGACGGAACTGACGAGGATATCAAAGAAGCGAGGATCGGGAAAGCAAGACAAGCCTTCATTACTCTCAAGCCTGTGTGGAGGTCAAAGGCACACAGCACTAATCAACATGAAAATGAAAATAAGATCCGGATTTTCAACTCCAATGTAAAGTCAGTCAGTACTACTCACCATACGGATCAGAGAACTTGGCCAGCGCGTCATAAAGAGCACCTCAAACAAACTACAGACCTTCATTAACAGCTAGCTGTCTTCGCTCAATACCGTGCTCAAGATCAGATGGTCGGCTAGAAAAGATCAGCAACAGAGTGGGATCTCTGGGAATGAGTGAACCAACCAACACAGCAGGAACCGATTGTGCGACAAATATCAGCAGGAAGAAATGGAGGTGGATTGGCTGGCCATACTCTGAGAAAACAAACCATCAAGTGACATTAGTAGACAAGTCATTGCTCGAGTGGAACCCAAAAGGAAGCGTCGAGTTGGTCGTCCAAGGGTGACGTGGAGGAGGTTATGTGAAGAGGAGATGAAAGCCTGTGGGCAGACTTGGAGCCAGGTGGAAACTCTAGCAGAGAACCGAACGCAATAGGGAAGCGCCGTTGAGGTCCTATGTTCCTGTAGGAATTAAAGGGAAAAAATTGTATATATATATATATATATATATATATATATATATATGAGTCAGTGGCGCAGTGATAGAATGCTCGCCAACCGACCGAAAGCTGCTACCTTGACGTGGTGGTCGGGCTTGAACACCGCAATGACCTAACAAGCTATACTGACTTAGACCTATGTCTCTTGAGGTCCTACCATGCCAGAATGTTTGTTTGGATAGCGGTTGGACAAAAAGCAGCTACCCAATCAATACTGTGATACATACAAACTCAGAAAATTTCATGCCGGATCGGTCGGGGCCCGGATTAACAACGACCGCGCTACCTGCTGCCCTGTCACAGGGCACAAGTGATAAATATGCTACTGAGACACATCAAACAAAAACAGGTCGCGTGTGACGGGCCTCAAGCAGTTTACCCCTGGGCTCTGCGGTCACGCAACCAACTTCCACGGTGTGGGCAGCGGAGAGGTAACAATCGACCTCACAATCCGACATGCACACGAAACCTCTCTAATCCGCACTCATCTTTGTCTTCATCTTCATCTCTATTACCTTGCCTTCCTTCCACTGATGCAACTCCTCTACTTGACGGCTCTTCACTTCCTCTTCACTCTGTGTTCACTCAAAACGACGGAAGCCAAAAAGCCACCACCGATAGTCTCCTAAAGCCACGCCACCAATTTCATATAGAAGCATTTAATGTTAGGACACCTTGTCAAACAAGCATCACTAGCCAAAACTCTGGCATCCCGAGCCATTGATACATGCTGTGTTTCAGAAACACGCCTACAAGATCACCTCAAACAAACTACAGACCTTCATTAACAGCTAGCTGTCTTCGCTCAATACTTTGCTGAAGATCAGATGGCCGGTTTGAAAAGATCAGCAACAGGGCGGGATCTCTGGCAATGAGCGAACCAACACAGCAGAAAGAAATGGAGGTGGATTGGCTGGCCATACTCTGAGAAAACAAACCATCAAGTGACATTAGTAGACAAGTCATTGCTCGAGTGGAACCCAAAAGGAAGCGTCGAGTTGGTCGTCCAAGGGTGACGTGGAGGAGGTTATGTGAAGAGGAGATGAAAGCATGTGGGCAGACGTGGAGCCAGGTGAAAACGTTGGGTGAGAACCGAACGCAACGGAGACTTGGGCGGCTGAAGCCCTATGTTTCTGTAGGAATTACAGGAAATAATAATAAATAATAGAATAATAATAAAATATATTCGTCACGATTCAATATACTACCGCCAGTCAGTAGTGACTTTGGCGCGTGCATCTGTCTTCACACCCAACTTGGTCGACCACAGTGATCACAACATTTCCCTCACTAGAACTTAGCAATAAATTAATTAATAATACATTCTTACTAATTAATGCTACCCTGTTTTCATATTTTTGATACCCTTAAAATAAACGGTTTAAGCATATTCCTGGATGTTCGCTCTGAAAAAAAGCAGCCAGAAGAGGTAGAAATCATCATACTTCGTAACTTGACTTATAAAGCTGATCATGCTCAACCCTGTAGCACTTTTGTTGTTGTTATATACCTTTTTTTTGTAGGCTCCGGGAACGATGTGATTCAGATTGTTCAACTTGTGAAACATCGTAATCTCGAGCCGATTATTGTATTTAGTTTTAGTAAAAAGGAATGCGAAATCTATGCACTACAGCTAGCTCAATTCGATTTCACTAGTGGTGAGTTGATTTTGTTTTTCTTTTTTTTAATATTTAAAAAAAAATATTCTGTTGTAATAACGGAAGACGAGGGCCAGTTGACAGATCGTTTATATTCAGGAAATCCACACATAGATTTATCGATTTTCATGTACATTATTATTATTGTTTAGTGATTATTGTTAGAAGACAAACACAGTCTTCTGATTGGTTGTTTCATCTCTTTGTGACTGTTTCTTGAAGATCTTGAAGGATCATCTATCATCCGCTCTCTGCTAATTGTATCGGCCTACGCGGAGAAAGTGTTCTGTGATTGGTTGTTGAGTCAGTCAGGCAGTCAGTCTTTGTTATGGTCTCATGACCAATATTTGGGACATAAACATTGACGTAAATTACTGTCTACCAGTTGTTGGCTAGCAGACAGCCCTGACCACATTGTAACGTTACAATCTCCATTAAGTTTAATGCGGGTATTCACCACTACTAACCAAGCAAACATTTGCAATTCCATACAACCAGCAATGAGTGAGAGCGAATATATATATATATATATATATATATATATATGGGTGGGTGCCTTGTGCTGCGGGTTGGCCACCCCTCCCACCGTACACCTCTTGAAATGCTCCCATATGACCGGGAGTCTTACATAGCCTCTCCTGAGGAAGTCCTACTCACTGCCTTCATGTGGCGGAGGTGTTTTTTTTCTCCGAAGTGAGAGGGCAAAAGCGGATGACCGGCGCTCTTCACCGGGTTGACTGTCCATTGGATGACAGACAGTCTAGGGGAGATGGCTAAACCCTGCCTGATTCCAAACCTCCAACGACTGGCGTATGAAGCTCATCGGAGGTCACCAGTAGGCAGACGTATGGACAAACGGCTTATTGGATGACCTGGTGCATGTCTGGCCCCATTGAAAAAGGCGTATGAACCGGACTCCGGTCACCGGCTGGCTGACAATGGATAGTGGACTCCCTACTCCACTCCTACTGCCTTCTAGGAGGTCACACTTGGTTGGTTATGTAAAGGCTAGAGCTGCGCTCTCAAACAAAAGGCCGAGCGATGGTGGGGACATCACTCGTACCTAATTCCCATGAAACTTCATCAACTCTCGTTGCTACAACATCAACCAACTTCCAACTAACTATGGGTCCAACAACGTGGCCTTCGGTGGTTTGGCCATGTTCTGGGCCGAGCCGACCAGATGACGATCTGGTCAATGAAATCAGTTCTAAATCCCTGCTCGCCATTTCCATCTTGGCGATGTCGCAGGGGTGGACAGCTGAAAACACATGGCTTGGTACAGTCAGTCAAGGCTGATATGGAGTGACTGGGCTTGGGGTACAAACCGTGTACGGACTCCGTCTGTGGAACAAGAAATGGATAATCTTGTCGTGGAAAAACCTTGCATCAGATCTCCGCGCCTGAGCAGCGATGGTTCGAGATGTTCATGAAGCCGGCTCATCCTCCCGTAGGAGATAGCCGAAGTAAAGTAAGTAAGTAAATATATATTTGAAGTATTGGTTTTGTCGGGATTTTGAAGATGAGACCCTAACTCACTCATCGAAGGAGACATTGGGAAATGGTCGCGCTATATCGTGCGTGAATTGGAAGAAGGTTAGAATTCATGAACTGGCTGGCTGGCTATTGGATCGGTTCCCGCTGGCTAAATGTAACTAGAAGGTTCTGGGTTCGAACCGCGCAGTGTGGGTGCGTACTGCTAAAGAGCCCCGAATTAGGTCGATAGAAACAACTGTCCAGCACTCCCTGCATGTTTTCCAGTGGTTCTCTAACTTATGTGAGTTCATGATGAAATCCTCCATGCAATCAATACATACATATATGTTGGAAACTAATAAAATACCGTAACATTTTGTGGGTGTGTTTCTATGGAAATGGGAGTAGTATCAATCGATGTTTTTTTTTCAACCTTAAAATCTAAGCCCTTTTGCGTCTTCTGGTGTGTGCCTGTGTGAGTTACTCGTCTCATGGATTCCTTTTAACTTCTAAGACCTATCTGCAAAAATATTCATTCAAACATCTATAAAATACAAAATATAATTGAGCCAGCCAGCAAAGAATATCCCCTTTTCGATAGATTCTGCCTCCCTTGGCTCTACAATTATATCAACATATGCATGTTTATGTACATAGAATATTCTAGATTAGTAGTTGTCAATAACAATATCGGCGTGTTTTTTAAACAATATCGATTTGTAAAGTAAGATCACAATGGAATCACCACCACAGTTCATTAAAGAGGCTTAAATTTTAATAATCTTAATAATAATAAAGATATATTAGGAAATAGAATATCAACTAAAATTAGGAAAATTCCACAAAAATTCACAATCATTTAAACCTAGATGGATGACCAAGCGGGTAATGATGGATAATGTCTGAACCAACTAACTTCTTTTAGATGAACAAATTAGGCTTCTTAATATGAATCTCAACGGCCAACCAGCCTCAGGAATATTAAGTAGTCGAATTCTTAAGGCGAAATTGAGATCTGTTGGTTGGTGTGCGGTAAATGGCCGTGAAAGAGGCCTGGTTAACATCAATCAGTCTTGTGTTGTGTATCCACAAGATGACTGAGATAGAATGGTGCTGGGAATGGATGATGTTTGTCTTTTACTTAATCAACCATTGAGCAGAGCGCGATGTTCGGAAGTTCGACGAGAAACATGCCTAATTGTACGGCCTATGGAAGTAAGTAACTGGCAAGTGTAGACCACCAGTAAGTGTGCCTACGTTTCTGTCAAGCGATGAAAATATGGCCAATACGTCGTCCTCGTCTGCGTGTTTGTTGAAGCCTGACTGACTCATTTTCCCGGTTTTGATTCTCGTGAGTGCTGCTTAGTCAATGACAGTGTACTACTACTACTACTACTTAAATGAGAATTTCAGCGACAATGTTAGTAAACAGCTGATTGTTGCATAACTCTTGCCTTCCTGTTTTCACAACTGGGATAAATTAGTGTAATTCACATTAGCAGAGAAATGAAGCTAAACAGCATCAGGATGGGCGCATGCACGCACACACACACACACACACACACACACGGCATACACAACTGTAATCGAACCATCGCACACATATTCTGTCAGGTTTGGCAGAACCACGGGGGAGGCGACCCAAGAACTGTATGCAAGTATTTCATGTCCAAATTAGCGCGATCTACATATGTTATGTGTTATTCAACACTCTAAACAATATTAGAACAGCATAAAGTCAATAGTGGTATGGTATTTTAAGAAAAACCAATCGAAACAAAATGAAAACACTAGAAATAAAAATTCGTATAATTAATATATGTGAAAAACTTGGACACTGTGGTGGTGGTAGTAAGTAGTTCCATATTAGTTTGTTTATTAGATGGATATATCACACAGTCAGTGAGTGAGTGAGTGAAACAGTATTAGTATTTACTGGATGACAAAGTTTCGAACACACACAATTCACTTGTTGCTGTTCATAATCATACACATCACTGATTATAATCACACTACTTCGAAAATTGAGTTTGATAGTTAGTCTTCTTTGTTCTCTCCTATTTGTTGTCGTCATTCGGGGGTCGGGGGTTGTAGAATTTTCCAGGTATTGGACAGGTATTGAATCATGCCTATTACACATATTCACTCTCAGTTGATTCGATAAACAGAGCTTCTGTTATCAGTCTCTCCCTCCCTCCACCCTGTTATATCAGTTGAATTTTAAAAAAGTCATCATATCCCCTCCAGCCCATTGTATGGTTGTGTGTAATTGCATGTAGTGAGTGGTATAGCTGAACTATTCTCTAGATTTCTTATCTTATTCGGGTCAACAAATCTAGATTTCGCTGGTCGCTTTTTATGTTCGGCTAGTCTGACTGCCCCTGTTCTACTAGTTTGACTTATGTATTTGACCTGACAATCATCGAAGGCAGGGTATTAAATAAACGAAATTGTTTTGTTCCAAAGGACTGATTTATCCTTCAACCGACAAAGCTTGTTTATAATTGAGTTTGTGGTTGGTTTGAATCCCAGCCACTTTTATTCCTGCCCGCCTTGTTAAGAATTCTCCGCTGTAAGGTTTCCGAAATTTCTCCCTTGTGTGGAATTACTGTTATGTACTCGTCGCTAAGTTATTATTATGGACTGGCCGAGAAATTAATAGTCCTGACCTAAAATGTCGGAAATCAGAAGACCACTAGGGTTGCGATGATACTTCTATTTTCCAAAAACAAGGAGACGAAATAAAATGGTCCCACACCAAAGTGGTAAGTAAGTAAAGTAGTTCACACAGAATGTGTGAACGAAATATATATATAACAAAATATATATAGCAGACATGTCAAACAACCATATATGGATATATGTCACTAAGCAACGGGCTGTCAACAAACACTCATATTATATATAATATAATATAAGGAGAATGCACATTAATAAAGGAGACAAGTTCACACAAGTGAAATGGTCACAGACTAAGCGAGCAAATAGAAAGAGAGACCAACATACACACACACACATAAATATATATATATGTGGATACATATCAATTACTACTGATGATTTCGATTCCATATTATTGGTGTTGTCTTGCGCACATTTCACATGTATGTCGTCATTAATATTACTACTATTATTACTTGTATCATCATTATTATTATCACTGCTACCATTATTTACATAATTTATTATTTTTACGTTTCCCCACATATTTCCTTACTAATTTATTAGGGTAATTATTAAGTTTCAAGGCTTCTCTTATATGCCTCACTTCCTGTCTTAGATTTTCCTTGGTACTGCTTAGTTTTTTTGCTCTGTCATTTAAACATTTCACTAATCCTATTTTTACTGACATAGGATGAGATGATCGGAAGTTCAAATATCTGTTTGAACATGTGGGTTGCCTTGTAAACACACTAGCGTGTTTAGCTTCCCATCTTCTTTCCTTTCTACGTTGCAATCTAACATTGGAAGTTCCCCTTCCTGACTTTCCAATTCATAAGTGAATTGAACTGCCTCTACCTTCGAGTTGATGTGCTCGAAAAATCTGTCTATATCTTGTGTTCTAAGTACAGTGAATGTGTCATCTACATACCTCCACCATACTTTTGGGGTGGGGGTGAACGTTTCAATTGCTATCTTTTCCCACCTATCCATGAATATATCTGCTACAACTGGGGATATTGGTGATCCCATGGTAACTCCCTCAGTTTGTTTGTATATTTTCCCTTCGAATTTAAATACTGTAGAAGTTAGGCAAAGCTGCACTCCCAGTATTATGTCCTCAAGTGGCACTTTTGACCTAAGTTCGAGTTCTTGGTCAGAAATGAGTTCGTTTCTGAACGCCTCTATAGCCATATTTATTATCGGTATACGTGTATATAAACTGACAATGTCAAAACTAACCATTTTTTCTTCATTATCTAATTTTAAATTATCTAATCCATCTATGTTTTAGTTCATAAGAATTAGTTAGTCTAGATTTCAAGTGGATTTTTAGGGGATTTAATACCATGGTTAAATATTTAGATAATTCATAGGTAGGTGAATTTCTAAAATCAACTATAGGTCTGTTTAATAGGGTATATACTGACATATGAACTTTAACAACATCATACATTCTACTGAGGTTATCAATTTTTGGGCATTAAATTAAATCACTAAGACTCAACTAGAAACGGCTTCATTCAACGTATAAGGTCCGCTGTAGAATTACTTACTAAGAAAGTACCCAAGTTTTACACATATATTAATCATTGTTATAATTTATAGATTGTTAGTTTTATAAAAAAACTACTTCATTGTTCGTGAAATACCTGTTTTTTGAACTGCATACAGATGCTGAAAAGGAAATCATTGAAGAGGTATTCCGTAATGCTACAGATGGTCTTTCCCCTGAAGATCGTGCACTACCTCAAGTGGAAAGTATCCTCCCCTTACTTAAACGTGGTATTGGCATTCATCATGGAGGTTTACTGCCCTTATTGAAGGAAATAACGGAGATATTATTTTCGGAGAATTTGATTAAGGTGAGTGAATTGCCGAGAAAACTTATCCGACATTATCCTAATTCTCAATCTTTATTTATTTATTATTATTACGATGGTGAATATAAATTGTGCAATTAGTCATAATAGTAGGAATGATAATATTACTACTACTAATAATAATACTAATGGTCTTATCAATAATAAGGATGAAAAAGTGAGGCAATTTGTGATAACACGAATAATGAAGAACAGTTTTCGTGTTATCACAGATTGCCTCACTTTTTCATCCTTAATATTCATAAGACCATTATTATTATTATTATTATTATTATTATTATTATTATTATTACTATTATCAATATTATCATTAGTACTATTTTGACTTATTGCACAATTTATATTCACCATCGTATTATCCTGTAGACAAAACACCATGATTGGTTTATATTTGAATTTTTATTATTATGAGTATTGTTCCCTTGGGTTCCTAACAGAATATAGGGCTTCATCTGCACGTCTCCACTTCCTTGCTTCTAGTTTCTGCGGAACTTACTTTTCACCCGCATCCATGTTAGTCCATACTGTTTCATCCATCCTCTTCACACGATCTCTTCCTCCATGTCACCCTTGCACTGACATCCCACTCGCCGCTTCCCTTTTGAAGTTCCCCTCGAACAATGGCCTGACGCGCGCGTAATGTCACCCAGCGGCGGCCTCCTCAGCGAGTGTCCAATCCATCCCCATCACTGTCTCCTGCATATTTGTTTTTGTTGGGCGATTGGTTCTTGTTTTGTTTGTTTGTTTGTTTGTTCCCATAGTTTCTTGTTGTTGGTGATTCTTTCCGGCTCAGCCCGGCCATCTGATCTTCAGTATAGATCCAGCGAAGACAATTAGTTGTTGATAAAGGTAACATCTTTGTGACCCACCTGCCAAGTTTGTGATCCTTATAGAAGAGCTGACTGACTTGACGTTGTTTGTATTGAAAATCCGATCGAATTTTGTTGTTGATGCTGGCTGAGTGACGAAGATTTCCAGATTGGTTGTTTCAGGTTGATGAATGAATGTGTTTCTCGCCCCCCTCCCTCGATTCTCGATTTGATATCCTCTTCCGTTCCGACTTCCTGTAGTTGAGACAATGCTCCCTAGGTAAGTAGTGAATGAAGTAACCTCTTTCAAATCCCCCCGTTGATGGTGATTGGCTGCTGGCTGGATGATGTTGTTGTTGTTGTTCGCTGGTTGGTTATTTTTGTAACCTTCGTCTTGTTTATGTTCACCTGGAGTCCTGTCTTCACTGTCTGCTTCTTCGACGAGTTTGTCGGTTTTCGCTTGTCTCTAAGTCTTCGATTTTGTGTGACATCAAACATTCAAATCATTCTCGAAATTTTTAGGTAGTTTACTTTGTTTAATTAACATTCTTTTCACGAGTGTTCTTTACACAAAACATGAAATTGGTTTTATCATCTTTCTGGACAAGCATGATGCATGCATGCATGCAGTCAACCTCCTCTGGACCGTTGGACGAGGAGGAGGATATCAGTAATGCTGTTTCCGTCCATTACCCCCGCCCCCCCCGTCTAAGTTGCACAGCCTCAGATATTTTCATCGCTTCTCTTCTTCGTCGTTAAAGCCTACCTCATTGTGTGCCTAGCATATTTGAACTACCCAGTCAGTCAGTGTATGCGACAGAACGTGTGCTTGCACCTGTGGTCAGCTGTATATATTGTAGACTAGAACAATAAGGGGAAAGCACAACAATTAACTATGTTGTAAGATTTCTGCAAGCTTATTTGATAGCCTTGTGATGAGTGGTAACATTTAAACAGGTATTGGAAGGATAAACAGTTGAATTTGTTTGTTTTTTCGACGCATAACACAAACGAGCAGTATTTATATTTACTGGATAACTAACCTTTTAAACGCGCAATTTATGGTTTATAATCATTATCAATTGTGCGTCCGTGGCACAGTGGTTAGGACTCTCGCCGACCATGCACATGGTCCGGGGTTTGAGCCCACGCCGACGCACACCTGATATCTATGGTCGGCCTGGAAAATTTGGGCTACCGATATCCATGCTGAAAATTCTATACTTGTACCTAAAATACAGTGTGGAATCAAGCTGTAAATCAAAAATCAAATCAATTCCTCTATGTCATGTATATATTCAATACCATAAATTAATTGGTTACAGGATTTCATCATGAGTTATGACATTGGTTAGAGAACCATTGAAAAACCAGCCAGGGGAGGGAGTACTGGACAGCTGTTTCCCCTCGTCCTAGTTTGAGCCGGCTATTTAGCAGTACGCACCCACACTGCTGGGTTTGAACCCCAAGACCTTCTGGTTACAAAGTAGAAGTTGTAATCCATGGACTGGCCATTGGATTGGGTCCCAGTGGCTTAATGATCTACGAACTGTCTATCTGTCTGTCTGTTTTCGACATAGAACTTTCCACCGATGTGCGCCAGTTCAAGTCATCACACTCCCTCCATGTATCACACAAAGCAAGAGAAGAAAGTAGAAGAAATGCATATTAGAGAGACAGGAAACAGGTGCGAGACAAAGGAGGAGTAATAACGAAGAACAATACAGTTTCACTGGAAATCATAAGTCACAAGGAGTGGATCCATCTGAGCCAGCCAGCCATTGCGAACGATCACTTTAAGCCAGCCATATCACCAATTGTTTACAGCCTTCATTGTTTTTACCATCCTGAGGACCCGAACCAACTAGTCAGGAAGTCTACACCTTCTTACGTGACTGGCTGGTTGGTTGGCTTAAACTGACTGTTGTGGATTTGGATTCATTGACTGGTGAAGCCATGTTTTGGTTTGACCATCACTGGTTAGCTCTTTCCCAGCCTGACCAATCCTATGTCAGCCAGCTAACATTGTTCATTGTCGAGGAAGGCGATGACTAGGCTGCCATGCGTAACACATGTCCTAACCATTTCGGTCTTTGTAAACTTCACTACTTCGTTGATTGATCTCCTCTGTTTACCTAGAACTCGACAGAGGCCTAACCTCAATGTTGCTCACCTTATTATGTCACTTCACACGGGAGATAGAGCGCAGACATCTATGATCAAGGACAGCTAATCTTTTCATGTCTTCCACTCTCAATGGCCAGATCTCAGAGCCATAAAGGAGAACAGTAATTTGGAGACTGTAATAATATACCAACAATGTAGTAAGAAGAAGTGGACAAGCATCACCTTTTTATTACAAAAGCATACACCACAGCGCAAAGTTTGTATTACTCATTAGGAATGGTTTACTTTTTTTTCTGCGCATGGTTCTCTTCTGGTGGAAAAAGTTTCCTACATGAATGTCTCAGTATTTCACAACCAATAATATGAGATGATGCTTATTTTGTCATGTGAGTTAACAAATGACTGACGTTCATCCCTGTGCTATATAAATTCCTCTAATATGATTCAACGAATGTTTTATAGTTTGGTTTGTAAGTATTAGTTATGTTTTACGGGTTGATCACGGATTGATATCAGTTAGAGAAGCATTGAAAACCAGGGAGTACTGGACAGCTGGTTGGGGTCGCGCTAAATCACGAATTAGTAGAAGTTAGAATTGACGAGCCATTGAATCGGGTCCCAGTGGCTGAATGGTATACGAGCTCATTGGCCTTGTAACCAGAAGGTCCCGGGTTCGAATCCCAGTGGGTGCGTACTGACGATGATTCCCAAACTAGGATGAAACAGCAGCTGTCCAGTACTCCCTGGTTTTCAATGGTTCTCTAACTGATATCAATCTGTGATCAACGAATTTTCTTAATTCCATCAGTAATGATGCTTAAGACACTATCATCTAATTTAAGTAAACGTAGTATGTCTGTCTGTCTGTCTGTTTTCGACATAGAACTAGCTTTCCTTGAAACCAGAATGTCCTGGTTTCGAACTCTAGCGGTGGGTGAGTACTACTGAAGGGTCTCAAACTAGGACGAGGGGGAAACAGCTGCCCATGCAGGTTTTCCAATAGTTCTCTCTAACCAACTGTTAACTCATGATGAAATCCTGTAACCAATCAATCGAATCCTTACAAACCAATACTTAAACATAAATCAATAATATAAAATTACATATTACCACAGTTTTAAAGTTCTACACATATTATAATAAAGGTTTTCTTATACAATTGGTGGATGGTGGCTAGCAGTGGAATCCAGGATAAAGCGCATTTCGTCCTATTTGGGACTCGTCAGCCACTGGATGATGTACCTGCATATCTCAGTGAGTGATGATGATGTTCCCACTGATGTTTCCACTGCTAGCCACCATCCACCAATTGTATACTAATTAAATGCCCAGACATTGTCGAAGCATCTGCACAAGAAGCCGACATGTCAACCTGAGACCGAACACTTCGGTTCAATCAATCGACGGGAAAATCAAAAAATTCAATTCAATAAGATTTTCTTATATTTTCCATCGAATGAATGAATGAATGAAAAAGGGCAAAACGATATTGTCGTTGCTCTTACTGACTGACGTTCCGCTTCTCATTAATGCTGTCGCTAATGGCTTTATCAAAGCACGATAAGTATTATTAAACCAGAAGAATTTACAAAATTCACTCAGCGCATATACATATAACGAAAAGTTAAGAGGTGGGGGAGAAAATAGACTTGACTCGACTACTTAGGTCAAGTTAATAAAAGCGGAGGACATATTGAAAGTCAAAATAACACAATGAAGATGAATGACTCAACCTAATAACAGAGGTAGGTAATAGTACATCTGCCCTGGCTGGTATAAAAAACAAAGTTTACTAATTTGACCATCATCGTTCGTTCACTTTTCGTTGTCAAGTTGGTCAGTTGGTAAAGATAGCAAAACCAAGTGTACATTGTTGGATTTGATGAGTGTTTAAGATAATAAAGGCAGCATGTGTGTTTACATAATGATATTGCTGCTTATCACATTCGTGTTGATTTTGTCACTTCATGGGGGGGGGGATGGAGGTGGGGTGTTGTAACCAGGTCAGATTCTATTTTAGTCCATCATTCCTATTCACTTCAGACAATTTGGATTCCATTAGATGATATGAAGTGCTTCTGATGATATGATATGAGACGTTCTTTGTGATTTTTGAAATTCTTTTTTTTGGATAATGATTTCAATATTGTCAAAATCAATTTTGTGGACTGATTCTATGGCTGGCTGATAATTTTTTCAAGTTTTTCTAGTTCAACTGGATTTATTTCTCGGTGGTGTTCATTTCTTCTGATTTTGATTTCTCTCTGGCGATGTTTTTCCGATGTTATATCTCATCACATTCCAGGCATTTTACTTTATAGGCACAATTAGATAGAGAATCTTTTAGGGATTTTGTCTTTTATATGGACAAGGTTGTTTCGTAGTGTGTCTGTCTGATGTTTTGAAGAAAACTCTGACATCGAGCTGATTGAATACTCTTCTAATATCATCTGACGTCACATATTAGTGAAACTTAATGTGACTTGGTTTTCAACGTTTGGAAATGTCCCATTATCCATCACATGCGGCGGAATACACCGAATCGTATGATATCTATGCGTTTAACGGATCTGTAAAATAACTTTTCCGTCACACACACTATCTAGCATATATGTTGATTGGCTGTATCAAAAACTACGCGGATTCTTTTTAACTTGATATCAGACCACTGAAGAAGTAGTGTCTTTTTTGGATAATTTTTATTTAAGGTTTAACAGCGTTATATGATCACTTATCTTTTTTTTTCTTATTGTGTCATATTCCGTCATATTCTCTTCAAAAACAGTGTCTCTTCGCTACTGAAACCTTCGCTATGGGTTTGAATATGCCAGCCAGAACGGTCTTGTTTACATCAGCACGGAAATACGACGGGAAATCGTATCGTTGGGTAGGTTAAACAATGTATCTATGATTTTCAAAAAAAAGAAATTGGCTGTGGATTAATTTATTTTAGATTCTCAGTATGCATTGCATAGTAGGCGGCAGACGACTCATTGGAGAATATCCTTTCGATGAGTAGTTGTGCTAATTGTCGGTACAGTATAGCACAGTATAAGATCAGGTAGTGAGAGCTGTCTGCTAGCTAGCCAGACAAAATATTGGTATTGCATGGAGGATTTAATCATGAGCTGACATCAGTTAGAGAACCACTGGAAAACCTGGGAGTACTGGACAGCTGTTTTGTCCTAGTTTGGGACTCCTCAGTAGTACGCACCCACCGGGATTCGAACCCAGGGCCTTCTGGTTGCAAGGCGAGCTCGTAGACCATTGAGCCACTGGGACACGATCCAATGGTCCTTGAATTGTACTTCTGCCAGTTCACGACATAGCGCGACCACTTCGCAATGTCTTCTTCGATGAGTTACTGCCTCATCTTTAACCTGCTGTACCCTACTGGTCACGACCATTGGATCGGGTCCCAGTGGCTGAATGGTCTACGAGCTCGCCTTGCAACCAGAAGGTCCTGGGCTCGAATCCCGGTGGGTACGTACTGTTGAGGAGTCCCAAACTAGGACGAAACAGCTGTCCAGTACTCCCTGCAGGTTTTCCAGTGGTTCTCTAACTGATGTCAGCTCATGATTGAATCCTCCATGCAATCAAACAAAATCCGTACAAAAACCAATACTTGAAAAAAATTGGTAGACAGTGATTTATGTCAACAATGTTTATGTCCCAAATATTGGTCATGAGAGCAGAACAAGAACAAAGACTGACTAACTGACTCAGCAACCAATCACAGAAAACTTTGTTTGCGTAGGCGGATAGGCCAAGTTAAACTTTAAGCACCACTAACTACCAATCAGCGAACGACAATCGAATAGTCCATTGAGATTCACGAACCTTAATTCAATGTTGCATAGTGCTTGATTCATTTCAAATGCGTGCCCTTACAAGGTTACGGTTGCAATTCTAAGAGGATGGTGTTTTCCAGTATTGCCTGGATTTAAGGTTGCTCCGGAAGGAGCGAACTTGTTCGTGTGGTGGTGTCATGACTTTAAAAAGCCAATAGCAGGTCAACTGATGGGTTTTTCCATCGTTGTGTAATATGCTTGAAGGGAGTTAGCATTAAAGAGGGTAAGCTGATAATTTTAATATTTCGTAGGAACTTTTTTTGCATGGTCACACATCTCCTTGACTCAAATTTTGTGTATATATACCACTACTGGGTATTGAAACAGCCAGTGATGACCACAGCTGCGGAGACGGAGAATAGCCTCGTGTCAACAGTTCAATGGTACCAGCATTGCAGAGATATTGCTTCTTGGAAAATGGAGAAAATCAATTCTTTATTGAGTGGAGAAGACGTTGTTGTGCACGTGGATGAAACTGTGTTGGTGAAAAAGAAGTACAACCGTGGTGGTCGCCAGCGAGCGAACACTATTCTGGTAGTAGGTTTATACGACACCTTCCTCTGAAAAGGATTCGTGGGAAGAATAGCAGATAGAAAGGCGACTACTCTAATACTTATGAGACTTGTAAAACGGGGATCAATAATACACACGGACGAACGGAAAGGTTACAATTCCCTATCACCTCTGGGATATACATTCATTATATAGTCAAGTGATTTTGTGGATCCCATTACGAGGATTCCTACAAATTCTATTGAAGGATTTTGAGGCCGGCTGAAAAATAGGATAAGGGCTATAAATGGATCTCGAAAGAATCTCATTTATAGTCATTTAGATGAATATATATGTACAGAAAGTGGTGTAATTTTTCTGTTGACAGTTTGATGCTTAACTGGGAGATGTTTCTCTCACATGTTAGGGAAAGATACCCGATGTAATTGTTTTGTGCTTTTTTCTATAAATATACGTGCTAAATGCATCACGAATTTGTAGAAGTTAGAATTCATGCACTGGCTGGTCATTGAGGAATCGGATCCCAGTGAGTGGCTGAGTGGTATACGAGCCAGCCAGCTAGCTGGCCTTGTAACCGGAAGATCCTGGGTTCGAACCTTGGTGCAGTGGAGGGTGCGTACTGACGATGATTCCTAAACTAGGCTGATGAAACAGCTGGCTGTCCAGTACTCCCTGTGATTGGTTTTCAATGCTTCTCTAACTGATATTAATCAGTGATCAATTCTCTTAAAAACAAATGTAGACATTATTTAGCTTCATATTCACATATGTGAGTTTTTAATCATGGTGCTAGAATTTGTGCCTATTTAAGAAACTGTCTCCTAGCTTGATGTGAAATGTCTGGTGAGGAATCTTGATTGGAATTTTTGAAGACTTTGGAGTTGTGGTAAATGTTTTTATGGGTAGACGTCGCGTGCTGGTAGCTAAGGTAAGAGAGGAAATCAATTGACGAGGTTGTGAAGTAACATCGAGTGAGTGATGAAATGGTTAGGACATGTGTTACGCATGTTAACCAGCGCGTCCCTCGATCACCAATGTTAAGTGACAAACTTGAAAAGAGCCATTGGTGGTCAAACCAAAACTTGGCTTCACCGATCAATGAAATCCACAACGATTAGTTTAAGCCATCCATGTAGGAAGGTGTAGACTTCCTAGTTGGGGACCACGCGACGCTATGGAGGCTGGAGGCTGAAGACAATTGGTGCTGTGGTCGGCTCGAAATCGTTTTCAATAGCTGGCTGGCTGACTGGCTCTGTGTGTGACTTATTATACTCAATATAAAACTATATTGTTGCTATTCGATATTGCTATTCTTTTTACCTCATATCTCTGTTCATTGTCAGTCACTATTTTGCATTTCTCTTTTTATTTTCTTTCCTTACTCTTTGTATGCTACATGGAGGGAGTCTGTCTGTCTGTTTTCGACATAGAACTTTGCACAAATGTGCGCCAGTTCAAGTCGCCACACTCCCGCCATGTACCACCACACAAAGCAACAGAAGAAAGTACAAGAAAGGCATAATAGAGACAGTAAACAGAGGTGTGAGACAAAGGAACAGTAGTAACGAAGAACAATACAGTTTCATTGGAAATCATAAATCACAAGGAGTGGATGCATCTGGGCCAGCCAGCCATTGAGAACGATTTTGAGCTATGTCACCAATTGTTTCCAACCATTTGTTTTTACCATCCCGAGGACCCCAAACAGTCAAGAAGTCTATACCTGCCTACGTGGCTGGCTTAGACCAACTGTTGTGGATTTCATTGACTGGTGCCATGTTTTGGTTTGACCTCCACTAGCTCTTTTCCAGCCTGACCCTATATCCGCTAACATTGCTCGTCGAGGAAGGCGATGACTAGGCTGCCATGCGTAACACATGTCCTAACCATCTCAGTCTATGTAACTTTACAACCTCGTCGATTGATTTCCCCTGTTTACCTAGAACTCGACCGATGCCTGACCTCAATATTGCTCACCTTATTATGCCACTTTACACGGTAGGGAGATAGAGCGCAGACACCTATGATCAAAGACAGGTAGTCTTTTCACTGGCACTGGCTGATGATACTTCCCAAATAAGTGAGGCGGTCAACGTGCTCTACCACTTCACTTCCTGTTTTTTTAAACTAGGCGTCGATGTAGTCCAATCCTGTAACATCATCTTGCATTTGGTGGGAGCGAATCGCTCACATGCCAAACATTCGTAGATTGCAGTTCAAGGTGTTTAGAAGACTCTGCTGTATTTTTTCAGAGTCGTCGCGTAGAAGGACTATATCGTCTGCATATTCCAAGTCGACGATATTATTTCCTGGTAGCAGGTCATGGAGGGAGTGTGGTGACTTGAACTGGTGCACATCTGTGCAAAGTTCTATGTCGAAAACAGACATATGTATATATATATATATATATATATATATATATATATATATATATATATATTAGATGGTTACTGTCTGCTGTTCCTATTCATACGGACACGTGTTTTTCTTTTCTTTTCGAATCTGCCTGCCTCATAGATCACATCTGGTGAATATATACAAATGTCCGGTCGTGCTGGTCGTCGTGGTAAAGATGTCAGTGGTACAGTAATCCTAATGGTTGATGAATCAATGAGCAGTGATGTAGCTCATCGGATCATGCGTGGACCAGCGCCACCACTCAACTCAGCCTTTCATATCACCTACAATATGCTGGTAAATTTACTACGTGTTGAAGAAATCAATCCTGAATTTATGATGGAGAAAAGTTTTTGTCAGTTTCAAAATTATGCCAGTTTGCCTGAAATATCTCAAGGTAGGCTGTGAAAAATCCTCTTTATTATTATGATTATTATTTATTTTTTCACAATATGAATCCTTACTGTTTTAATCATACAATATTTGTGTAAGTTAATCTAGTCATGTTTGATTGGACATTCGTCAGTAAACTAGTGTGACGTGTCTGGGGCTAGTCCTTTCTTTGGTGTAGACTGAATTCTATCAGTCAGTCAGTCAGGTTTTGCAATTCGGCCACCATTCTAGATACTCACTACAGTCAGTCCCACAGGAGGTCAATCGCGAGTCAGCCCGAATAGTAGCTGCCCAGTGATCACTTCATCTGCGACTGCATGCAGTACTCACTGGGTGGTGAGGCGGGTTCGAATCTCCTCAGATGGGTGGATGGGACATGAGCTGTTCTTTCAATGTTGTGGTCACAGATACGCCTTGCTGACTGACTGGTGAGTGGCAGGCAACTAGCAGCATGAAACGTGTAGGTCCGAGCAAGGCTTCCCCTCTGGCCGATTGCATCCAACTATCTAATATCATTAAGTCGATTTAGGTGATGATTATTGTGATGACAAATCACTGGTGTGAATGAATGAATGAATAAACTTAACTGATTATTTTGACAAGTTTAGTTATGACAGAGAATTAGGGGGTAGATTTGGGTGGCATTGTACAGTACAGTATAGGATGTGGTGGAGAGAAGGGTGAAGTGTGCTTGTAACAAATGGGGGTAGCTTTCCGCTTTGTATGTTATGTTGTAAAAGCAATTGGTCAAATGGAATCACTTAGCCGTTTTTGGCGTCTTTTAATTTTTGTATTATGCATCATATACTACTAATGCTTCAGTGTGATTCTATTGAATAACTCCATTATGGATAAGATTTTATTTTGATTAAGTGTCACACACAGTGTAGTGTTTGTTTTACAGTAATATTAACTAATCCGACCACACGCCATTTCGAGCACAATTTATTATTGCCACTCATAATCATATCAAGGTACCCACTCACTCACTCACACACAACTTTTTCCTTCATGTGTGGAATTCACTAGATATTTGAATACAAGTCAGTAATATGGGATAATGTACATTCAGAAATAATAATGATAATAATATGAGTGTTAGCAATCCTATACAATCAAATGGGGGGAATTAAGGCGAGTGTTTTTCTTATGGTCATAATAAGTGAGTAACTTGTTGGAATGTTGTGATGATGTACGTGAATTGAATTGAAATAAAATACAATTTAAGATTATTCATTATCCTCCTCTGATTTGACTCACTGACTGGTGGTAATAATATCTTCCACGCATATTTGTGGTATTTGCATTGAGTCATTTCTGTTGCATGTGTTGTGTTGGGTGTAGACTCGATGAACCAGGCAGGATTTAGTAATCAACCTCTTTCTCTCTCTCTCTGCACCTACCTAGATTACTTTTTAGAATTTTAAGCCTCTCCCACCATGTCGTTTTGTGGTTGTGTGTTAATGCATGCATGTAGTGCAATGTATGGTGAGCTTTTTTCCCTAAATTACTCATGTTCTCTGGGTCAACCATTCTTACCTTAGCCACTAAATTCTTATGTTCCGATAATCTGATTACCCCCGATCTACTAATATTTAACCTATGTAGTTGATCTAACTCACAGTGATTTCAAGGTTCTTTTTTGTAAATGATATTATTTTGTTTAATTGGATCAACCGACGGGGTCCTACAGAGCCTACACAGCTTGTCCTTGTCTGAGTGATTTTATAGGTTTGAATGCCATCACCAGCCTAATTCCTGCTTTATTAAGAATCCAACGTGATGATCAGTTAATATTACTGTATAACAAACACTACACTGCACTGTGTTTGTGACAGTTTATCAATATAAAATCTTATCCACAATGGAGTTATGCTCTCTACCACCAGAGTGCCCAAGTTTTATACTTATATCAATAATTCCATTGAATAGTATATGGAGATCTTTGAACAGAGCATTCATTGATTTATTTATTGAATATTGTCTTGTCACGATTTCTAACCCCACTCCATCTAGGAAGGTTTGAATTTTTCCTGTTAGGAGGATCACACTAACTCTACCACAAAACAATAGGTCTGGCTGATGATGATAGATTGCTTGCAAAGTGAATGGAAATCCAAGTGGTTCTTTGCCTAGTAATAGTGTTGTTCTAAACGAATGTTTACATTCATTGTGTATTGTTTACTGCACTAGCTTTTTAAACCTAATAATTACCCCGATAAATTAGTCAGGAAATATGTAGGGAGATGTAAAATTAAATAATAAATAATGTTAGTAGTGATAGTAATAATATTAATATTAATGACGACGTGCATGTCAAATATGCGCAACAATAAGAAATCCAAATCATCAGTAGTAATTCCATACAAAGAACGAACCACGGAAACCTTAACAAGGCGGGCAGGAATAAAAGTGGCTGGAATTCAAACCAATCACAAACTCAATTAGAAACAAGCTTTGTCTGTTAAAGGATCAATCAGTCCTGTGGATCCTTTAAAACAAAACAATTTAGTTTATCTAATACCCTGCTGGTGGAATGATTGACAGGTGAAATACATAGATGGGTCAAACTAGCAGAACAGGGTCAGTCAGTGAGTCAGACTAACTGAACATAAAAACCGACCAGCGAAATCTAGATTTGTTGACTCGAATAAGATAAGAAATCTAGAGAATAGTTCAGCTATACCACTCACTACATGCAGTTACACACAGCCATACAATAGGCTGGATGGGATAGGATGAGAGTTTTGAAATCTGATGTCACAGGGTGAGAGAGATTGATAACAGAAGCTTTGTTTATCGGACCAGCTGAGAGTGAATACGTGTAATAGGAATGATTCGAAACCTGTTGTTATGTTCTTGTCGAGTAGCTAACAGTCCTGACGCGGAAAGAGGGAAATCAGAAGACCACCAGGTTTACGATGATACTTGTATTTTCCAGACAAGGAAAATAAATGTCACACACAAGAGTGTGAGTGAAATGGTACGAAATGTGTGTGAACACAAGAATAATATACAAGTGTCTAATCAAAGGTATATATGAATATGGCTAATACACATGAACCAACAAGACAACATCTTACCATGATTGGTTGTAATGTCATGTGATAACAAGGTCATACATGTTTATTTTGTTAGTGGACAGACAAAAGCATATTGTCAATTATAATGAAATATCGATCCATATACTCATAGCGAAATATAATGGACTGTCAACAACATAACACACACATCATGTGGATACATATCACCTGTCCAGCTAGATATCTGGAAAATTCTACTTCGCCAATGACGACGACAAATAGGAGAGGACAAAGAAAACTATAAAAGTCAAGTTTCGAAGTCGTGTGATTACAATTGGTGATAGGTTGATGAACAGCAAAAGGTGAATTGTGTGTGTTCGAAACTTTGTCATCCAGTAAATACTAATACTGTTTCACTCACTCACTGACTGTGTGATATATCCATCTAATAAACAAACTAATATGGGTTTACTGGACCATTTGTCTACTCAGAATAATGACCATATCAGAAATTCAACACTGCCTTATCACTAAGGCGATAACAGATGATTCTATTTTAATTACAATACAGAACAGTTTGTCAATCAAGTGGCACTGATAGGTTTGTTAACAATAATTAAACAGTGTCAAAATGTCAATGGGTTAATAACAATTAACTAAGAATATCAATACAGACAATTAAAAGGTAGAAATGGATAGAATAAATTAATTTTACAAGGATAACACGTAAATTAAAGATGAAGTGGTCAAAATAAATAATATAGACAAATATAATTTTGATTGCATGGAGGATTTAATCATGAGCTGACATCAGTTAGAGAACCACTGGAAAACCTGGGAGTACTGGACAGCCGTTTCGTCCTAGTTTGGGACTCCTCAGCAGTACGCACCCACCGGGATTCGAACCCAGGACCTTCTGGTTACAAGGCGAGCTCGTAGACCATTGAGCCACTGGGACCCGATCCAATGGTCCTTGAATTCTAACTTCTGCCAGTTCACGACATAGCGCGACCACTTCGCAATGTCTTCTTCGATGAGTTACTGCCTCATCTTCGACCTGCTGTACCCTACTGGTCACGGCTTCCCACTAGAACCCCAGGTTAACTGCCTGAATAGGGCCAGTCACTAGAACTGGCAGAAGTTAGAATTCAAGGACCATTGGATCGGGTCCCAGTGGCTCAATGGTCTACGAGCTCGCCTTGTAACCAGAAGGTCCTGGGTTCGAATCCCGGTGGGTGCGTACTGCTGAGGAGTCCCAAACTAGGACGAAACGGCTGTCCAGTACTCCCAGGTTTTCCAGTGGTTCTCTAACTGATGTCAGCTCATGATTAAATCCTCCATGCAATCAAACAAAATCCCTACAAAAAACCAATACTTGAAAATATAATTTTATAGGTTTAGGGGGAGGGGGGCGACTCAGTCCTGTTTATCCATTCTTGTGACGATGGTCGCCACGGTAGGGAAAGTGGCTGTAGAAATTTTTTCTGTACACATAGGCTTGACTTCTTCAGATGAATGCCAATCGCCTCAGCCGTCTGTAGAAGACGAACTCGCAGAGCAAAATTAAGATAAGTGGGAATGCGATAAATAATTTTAAATGCTGTATTAACATCAATCTTATGCTCAGTATCAACGAGGTGGGCTAAAATAGAGCTAGCTACGAATAGATCTTTTTTGTCCCTTGCTTAACCACGTTGGATGATGTTCGGAAATACGACGATGAACTTGCCTAATTGTTCGCCGCCCCCCCCCCCCCCGATGTAGCTGGCTGGCTCTGCAGCTGCAGTCAAACTGGTAGATACACATAGATGTCTAGATTATTGAATTGAATTCTTGATTTTCCCGTCGATTGAGACCGAGCACTTCGGTCCATTCAACCGACGGGAAAATCAAAAATTCAATTCAATAATTAATATGACCCGTTGCACAAGAGGTCGCTCTCGTGGCCCAAGTGGTCTAGTGGATAACGCTTTGGCGTTTGAAACTATGGGTACTGTGTTCGAGCCTCGGTGGGAACATCATCACTCACCGATAGAAATGCAGGTACATCCAGTTGACGAGTCCCAAATAGGACGAAATGCGCTTTATCCTAGATTCCACTGCTACCCACCATCCACCAATTGTAAATGTCTAGATGATTATCTGTCGCAGAATGTGTTTTTCTTCTCAAATCACTTTGTTCCCATCGGAGTTGTTCCTGATCTAATCAAAAGAAAGTTTTTCTTTATGTCAAATTTGACTCAATTAAAAGGTATGAAGTATAATAATGGTGCTATTATTATTATTACTTAGTTTTTGCTTTGAAGCCTAATGAATTTCTGTTTAGTAATAATAATGATATTAACAGCTTTGTTCTAAACAGTATTTGGGTTACAGGTGTGGAATTTTCAGTGTGCATAACAATATATTGCATCTAATTAATTACCTCATAAATTTTATAAGATTTTGAAATCAAAGATAAATAAATAAGATAAATAAAAATAAAAAAACAGCGTTGCGTTTACATTTCAAACAATACACCACAGGATATGAAATATGAAGTTGATGTGTGACAGAAGATGAAAACAACAGTGTAATAGAAACGAGGAAAGGAAAACAAAAACTAATGGGACTATTTGTTAGAGTGCCGCAGTAAGTTGGCCGTGTCATACCTAACGGATTTCTCATCACGCACATAACAGCTGTGCCAGATATGGTATTGTGGAGTTTTTGTACTTGGTAGTCCTAGCATATAGCCAGCCAGCCAGCCTCGTATAGCTGCTTCTAGTTCTACCAGATGAAATGCAAGGAGACAGCTGCGTACAGAGAGAATCTTCGGGGTCTTGACAATATTGTATTCGCTAGTTTCTTACATGACATAATGTGGTTATCCACAATAGTGTTAACCAGTTGGTTTAACGATATCCCACTTGCCCTCCCTACTAACGGCTTTTAGTGCCTGCCCTTCTCAGCAAAGCAAAGTCTTTCTTAAGTAGTCCGGAAAGATTAATGAGAAGCAGTAAACGGGGATAGGTAGAATACAAGAATTCTTTTGTTAACTTAACACAAAAGTAGCTTCTTAGCTTATTGAAAAGCCAAAACACCTTGTACGCAACAAAATAACTTGAACACTCATATAAGGCACCAATTTCTTTTGTGTATATACAAAATTTTGACTGTACTATGAAAACACTGACAGTAAAATGTGACCGGTTCATAGGTCCGTTTTCGTCACTTTTCTTATCACTGACCTGTTGTTTTGTATTTGAATCCGAATTTGCGACTTGCAGATTAATTCACAGTTGACTGGTTTAAACTGATTGTGGAACTCCCTGAAGTAAGTGCGTGAGTGAGTACACTGCACTGCTGATAAACTTAGCTCTAAATGAACAACGAAACGGTCTTCTAGTATTTGATACACTACGTCCTGGTGGTGGTTAGTCCCAAGCACTACATGTTGATATTAGTTGGTATTCAAAGGCCTCCAAAAGCCTCACGATGGTCGAGGCTGGGTGCCGTGCGCTGCGAGTTGGCCACCCCTCCCACCGTACACCTCTTGAAATGCTCCCATATGACCGGGAGTCTTACATAGCCTCTCCTGAGGAAGTCCTACTCACTGCCTTCACGTGGCGGAGGTGTTTTTTTTCACCGAAGTGAGAGGGCAAAAGCGGATGACCGGCGCTCTTATTCGGGTTGACTGTCCATTGGATGACAGACAGTCTAGGAGAGATGGCTAAACCCTGCCTGATTCCAAACCTCCAACGACTGGCGTATGAAGCTCATCGGAGCTCACCGGTAGGCAGACGTATGGACAAAGGGCTTATTGGATGCCCTGGATGTCTGGCCCCATTGAAAAAGGCGTATGAACCGGACTCCGGTCACCGGCTGGCTGACAATGGATAGTGGACTCCCTACTCCACTCCTACTGCCTTCTAGGAGGTCACACTTGGTTGGTTGTGTAAGGGCTAGAGCTGCACTGTCAAAGAAAAGGCCGAGCGATGGTGGGGACATCACTCGTACCTAATTTCCATGAAACTTCATGAACTCGCTGAAAACATGGCTTGGTACAGTCAGTCAAGGCTGATATGGAGTGACTGGGTGGGGGCTACAAACCGTCTACGGACTCGGTCTGTGGAACGAGAATAGGATAACCCTGTCGGAAAACCTTGCATCAGATCTCCGCTCCTGGGAAGCGATGATTCGAGATGTTCATGAAACCTGCTCATCCTCCTGTAGGAGATAGCCGAAGTAAAGAATAAAGAAGGAAGATTCAAAAGTACTCCTATCAGTGAGTCATTGCGTAGTGTGCGTGTACAACACCATGCAGTGTTGAATAGATTATAATATATTTTGTTGAACAAAATGGTTAGATAGAGTAGTTAGATAGTTGGAGGCAATCGGCCAGAGGGGAAGCCTTGCTCGGACCTACACGTTTCATGCTGCTAGTTGCCACTCACCAGTCAATCAGCAAGGCGTATATATATAAATATCCGTTTGTGTCTCAAATAGTATAAGAAAAATGGGCTTAGTAAATGTGTTTACCCTCAAGGTGTTGTGAGGCGGACTACTTTTTTTTCGATGACTTGTTTTTTTTGGCTGCTGCATATATATTCAATCAAACTAAATCCCCCACAAATCCAATACTTGAAAATTAATCTTATGCGCTCACTAGTGATTGACCCTATTCAGGCAATAACTTAGGGTTCTAGTGGAAAGCCGTGAGCACAGTAGGATACAGCAGGTTGAAAATGGGGCAGTAACACACTCATCGAAGAATAAGAAGAAGACATTGCAAAATGATGGTCGCGCTATGTCGTTCATGAATTGGCAAAAGTTAGAATTCATTCACTGGCTGACTGGCTGGCCATAGGATTGGGTCCCAGTGTGTCACAATGGTCTACGAGCTAGCTCGCTAGTCTTGTAACCAGGGGAGGTCCTGGATTCGAACCGCAGTCGGGTGGGTGCGCGTACTGAAGATGAAGAGTCCCAAACTAGGACGAGGGGGAAACAGCTGCCCAGTACTCCCTGGCTGGTTTTCCAATGGTTCTCTAACCAATATCAGCTCATGGATGAAATCTTCCATCCAACTTATATCCTTCCTTAAAATACTTACAGTGAATGTTTATTTGCTAACCATACGACCAATTTTAAGTCATTTCCAGTATTCGTTTTTCCACTTAATTTTTTGTCTCTTTGTTTGTGTTTGTTAAGAATTGACTGAATTACGCACAATGTATGAATCAATGGCTGTCGAAGATGAAGAGTCCGTTGAATCATATCATCAGATTAAATCGTGTTTAAATGATTTAGTTTCACAACAATGGCAGTATATACGACGTCCACAGTATATTGTACCGTTTCTTCAACCAGGACGTCTTGTTCAAGTAAGCCCTAATTGTTGTGTGTGTCTGTGTGTAGCATATATAAATTAGTAATCATTTGAAATCTGAACCAAAAAAATATTCTTTTCAATACATCCTTCTCTTATTCAGGTTCTTACAATTATAAAATATAGTATAATATTTGTTGTCGTTACAATAATGATGACCAGTTATGCGGCGGTGAATACATTTTTACTTAACGTAGAATAAAAGATTAATTTTGGGGTGTCAAAATTAATAGTCGTATTCGATTTCAGCACAGAGCACGTTTGTTGTGAAAAACGTGCTCTGTGCTGAAATCGAATAGAAAATATTGTAAAACGGGAGACAAGGGTAGTGATTAGTCATAATAGATTTGTAGATTGTGAGCTAGGAAAATTGACAAGTCATTTCAGGGTTTTAAAAGACAGGTTGAGGCATATCTTAAGAAAAGGGATAATATCACTTACTTATAATAAGTCCAGATAGTATAAATGAAAAATTCGGTAGTATTGAGGAAATGTTTGCCTGAAGAGCATAAATTATGAGGAATAATAATATTTGTAATAATAAGCAAAGTAAAAAAAACCAAGAGAATTAAGGTGAAGGAGGATTCTTGGTGAGCAGAAGAAGAATCATCATCCAAGTTTGGCCACGGTAGGAACCGCGTCTGGACGTGTTCTTTTTAGGATACAAAGTTCCAGTCTAGTCGATCGTATTGCAACAGAACAGCTTCAGCTATGTGTTGTAGGAGATGTAAGCGAACTGTACATGATAACCACTTCGGAATTCGGTATCGGTATATAATCCCTGAGAGCTGTGTTGACATCGATACGATGTTCAGTAGTCCCGACCAAATATGACAGGATCGAGCTTTCTGTGCACTTAATTCCCCCCCCCTCCCAGCTGAACCAAGCTGGTAAATGTCCTCGAAAAAATTTCTATCCGCCGCATAACTGGCCTTTAATGTAACTACTTACTTTTACTTCGGCTATCTCCTACGGGAGGATGAGTCGGCTTCATGAAGACCTCGAATCATCGCTGCCCAGGCTCGGCGATCTGACGCCATGGTGAGAGTTGTTTGTAAGAGAGTTGATGAAGTTTCATGGAAATTAGGTACGAGTGATGTCCCCACCATCGCTCGGCCTTTTCTTTGACAGTGCAGCTCTAGCTTTTACACAACCAACCAAGTGTGACCTCCTAGAAGGCAGTAGGAGTGGAGTAGGGAGTCGACTATCCATTGTCAGCCAGCCGGTCACCAGAGTCCGGTTCATACGCCTTTTTCAATGGGGCCAGACATGCACCAGGTCATCCAATAAGCCGTTTGTCCATACGTCTGCCTATTGGTGACCTCCGATGAGCTTCATACGCCAGTCGTTGGAGGTTTGGAATCAGGCAGGGTTTAGCCATCTCCCCTAGACTGTCTGTCATCCAATGGACAGTCAACCCGAATAAGAGCGCCGGTCATCCGCTTTTGCCCTCTCACTTCGGTGAAAAAAAACACCTCCGCCACGTGAAGGCAGTGAGTAGGACTTCCTCAGGAGAGGCTATGTAAGACTCCCGGTCATATGGGAGCATTTCAAGAGGTGTACGGTGGGAGGGGTGGCCAACTCGCAGTGCACGGCACCCACCCCCGACCGTACTGAGGCTTTGGAGGCTTTATTGTAACTATCACAAATATTACACTTTATAATTGTATGAACCTGAAAAGGAGAAATTATTGAAAAGAATATTTCTCGTTCAGATTGACTTTTAATTCAGAATATAGGAATATTTCACACTATCAAATCTTAGTCATCATTTTTTTCCTGTGCAGCGCATTCACATCAGCCACACTGTAGATAATAGTGTAGAAAGAGAAGACAAGGGCCAGTCGGCAGATCGTTTATATTGAGGAAATCCACACATATTTATCGATTTCCATGTATATTATTATTATTATTATTATTATTATTATTATTGATTATTGTTAGAAGACAAACACAGTCTTCTGATTGGTTGTTTCATCTCTTTGTGACTGTTTCTTGAAGATCTTGAAGGATCATCTATCATCCGCTCTCTGCTAATTGTATCCGCCTACGCGGAGAAAGTGTTCTGTGATTGGTTGTTGAGTCGGTCAGTCAGGCAGTCAGTCTTTGTTATGGTCTCATGACCAATATTTGGGACATAAATATTGACGTGAATCACTCTGTTGACCAATTTTTGTCTGGCTAGCTAGCAGACAGCTCTCATCACAACTTCTCTCTGTGTTCTCTTCAGTTCTTCTCTTAGCTGACTGTGTCATTGCCCATACGCATGCTGTCATTTTCGTTCACTGGGTGTAAACAGCCTGCTGTTGTATTTTCTTTTTGGCTATTTATTTATTCTCTTAACCTGTTTCTATAAGTCAAGAAGATAGACAGATGATGAATAGGTGACTGAAGGAATAATATAAAGGAGCACGATAAATGCTCCAATTCATGTACACAACAATCTGGCCCAGTTCACTAGCCTTTCCCAAGACTTAGAAAAGGCAGAAGATTGGGCGTGTATAGGGGCCAGCGATTGTATCTTCGAAAAGAAACGATATGGGAAACACGCTTATAATTTGCTGGAGTCGGAAAGAAACGATATAACGCCTCCTGGGTGGAATGATTCTACAATGTATGAAGCTGAGCCATAGAAATGTTGAGGGATAATATCTCACAGAAGTTTCAAGAATCTGTGAGACAACAAACGTATAAGTGACCTGTTGGAATTGTCAACTGGAGATTTAATAGTCTCCTCCAGTGACCCAGACAACAACCACGATTATTTTTCTATAGTTTGGTTTGTAAGGATTAGTTTTTGTTTTTACGAGTTGATCACGGATTGATATCAGTTAGAGAACCATTGACAACCAGCCAGCCACAGGGAGTACTGGACAGCCAGTTGTTTCATCAGCCTAGTTTGGGAATCATCGGCAGTACGCACGCCGGTGGGTGCCATACCAGTCAGTTCCTGCAGATTGAGGTGTGAGTCGCCCGTCTTTGGTAGCTTGACAAGGCAGCAAGCCTTTCTTCTAGTCAATAGGTACATTTCTTTCAATCCTTTTTAACGATAGCATGAACACATCTGTGCATTTTGTGAGTCCGTTTTGAGTGAGTAGGAGATTCCGAGTGGTTCTACTGCCTTCCCGTTTGGCTTTCAGTAGCTGGACTGCATTCAAGATTCCTGCTTTTGTTTGAGGACTGGTGTGCACTGGGAAATAGTTGTGTGGGTGCTGTTGGTGGTGCTATTTGTCTCGGCGAGTTGCAGTTGGCGGTCGATTCAAGAGTCCTTTGAATTGATCAGCCCATTGTTTTATTCGTCTCTTCGCCTTGGTAATTTGGCTCCCTTCAACATCGTTATCAGCATGATCTGAATGGATTTCTTCCCAGATATTGACTTGGTTACCCGGTTGCTGTTCTAAGGCCTCTTTCATCGTCAGGCTGATGTCCTTTGGTTGCCGGCCAGTATGTCGTAGAATTGTCCTTCATCTTTTCTAGTACTCTTCTTCACCTCTCGACTGAGTGCAGTGCACAGTAAACTCAGCTTCACCTTCTGTTCTCTTGTCCATGCTTGGCCATTCCTTGTCTTGTCTCTTCTTTCTTCCTAGAACAGTTGCACACGTCTCCTTGAACATCACCTTCAGAGATTTAGTTCCAATGTTTGCCACGCAGGCTTCCTGAGTGATGCCACATAGTGTCTCTGACTTTGCTCTGATCTGATCTGCAGCGAGTGTATCCCTTGTAGTTCTGTTCTTCAGTTTCTGAGTGTTGAACTTGAATTGTGGTCATCTCTCTCCAGTTGTCCTCAATGCTTTCAACTTGACCTTGTTGGTTCCCTGAACTGGATAAAAGTCTCATTCCCCGCCTTCTCCCTCTCTTGACTGCATCTCCACTTCCCTGAACAGCATTGAGCTGAAATCTAACTGGTTCGGAGTGTGTCCGTCACGCGAAATCCATGTTGCCTTGTGTATATCTTTGTGTCCGAAGGCACTGTCTCCGATCACCAAATCGTTGAAGCTGCAGAAGTCTTCAAATACTTCTCCGTTGTCACTCATTTCTCTGAGAACCTCTCGACTTATTATGAGTCCTTTCTGCGTATTGTCTGCTCCCAGTTCGGTTGGCATTCATATTGCCCGTAATGATTTTGATGTTTCGAGATGATGTTTTCCCGTTATTGCTTGCGTCAGTGGCACAATGGTTAAGACTCTCGCTGATCAATCCCCTGCCGACGCACACATGATATCAAACTTTGCCTACAAAATTTTGGGCTACCCATATCACATGCTGTACGACAACGGCACATGTCAAGTAATCCACAACGGGAAACTCAGTGAGGCTTTTGGAGTAAATACAGGAGTGAAACTAGAGTGCTTATTATTTATCACGAATGATATTCCTGATTGTGGTGGACTGGATTATGCATCAGGGAGTGGGAAGCGAGAAGACAGGAATATCCTGGGCCGACGTGAAAAACCTAGAAGACTTAGATTTCGCGGATGACTTATGTTTGATGTCACACAAAATCGAAGACTTAGAGACAAGCGAAAACCGACAAACTGGTCGAAGAAGCAGACAGTGAAGACAGGACTCCAGGTGAACATAAACAAGACGGAGGTTACAAAAATAACCAACCAGCGAACAACAACAACAACAACATAATCCAGCCAGTAGCCAATCACCATCAACGGGGGGATTTGAAAGAGGTTACTTCATTCACTACTTACCTAGGGAGCATTGTCTCAACTACAGGAAGTCGGAACGGAAGAGGATATCAAATCGAGAATCGAGGGATGGGGGCGAGAAACACATTCATTCATCAACCTGAAACAACCAATCTGGAAATCTTCGTCACTCAGCCAGCATCAACAACAAAATTCGATCGAATTTTCAATACAAACAACATCAAGTCAGTCAGCTCTTCTATACGAATCACAAACTTGGCAGGTGGGTCACAAAGATGTTACCTTTATCAACAACTAATTGTCTTCGCTGGATCTATACTGAAGATCAGATGGC